TAGATTGCCCTTTGATTGTTATATTCTACTTCTGGTACCTTTTTCATATGATTCATCTGTGAGTACTCATTAATAACTTTAACATACTCCTCTTTAAATGCATCATTTTTCTTAAATTTTAACTCTAACCCTTTAAATCTTTTTTCAGCAATGCTCCTTGTCTCACCAACCGCACTGGCCGGGTCCTCATCGCGTAAAGGTAGTCTTACGATGTATCTACCATTACCGTCGCGTTTCGTCGTGGCTGTAAATAACTGCTCGCATTTATTTTCCTCTTCTGTAAGCATTTTCTTTCTAGGAGGTTCTGCTTCCAGTTCCCAAAATTTTTTAAGCATGTCATCCGCTTCGAGACTTGTATGCATTACGGAAATATGTGATGAATTAGTTGCCTGGTCCACGTCGAAGGTACCTGACAATATCCACCCTAATTTAGTATCCTGGGCTAATAGTGTCCCAGTTACATTCTTTTTAATGCCTTCCTGGATGACTTGGCTGTAGACTTCAGCACCTAATAAAATATCAATTTTATTAGGCCTGTAATATTCTGGATCAGCTAAGTCATCATCAATCAAGTCTACCCATTCTACCCTGGTTACTTTCGTAGCCGGGAGAAGAGCTGTGACCGACTTCAGGACGAATGCATTAACCCTAATGACAACACTGGGGTCTATTCTAGACCTCAATGTAAGAAGTACGCTGGACTTGGCCGTTGTACTTTTGTCCCCACCTACACCTATCACAACTTGTTTTGAAGGTGTTTTATGTAACCCTAAATATTGGACCGTAGATTCTGTTACAAACGAACCTTGTGATCCTTGATCGAGCAAAGCCCTAACAACCCTATAGGATCCGTCTTTCGACTCCACTTTAATCAAAGCGGTAGTTAATAAAACCGTTTTCCGGCTAGTTCCTGTCGAAAGGCACGATACCATTGGCTTGCTCGATCCCTCCGCTTGCGCGGTCACTACAGCAATACAATTTTTAATGTCATCCTTCGCAGACGTTGACGCGACTGATGATAATTCCTTGTGAACTGTACTCCTATCTTCACCAATATTGGACCCAGATGCACCTACTGGGTGCAGTAACGAATGGTGGCGGTGTTTACACACCTGGCACTTTAGAGTGTTTTTACAATTTTTTGCAGAGTGGTTGTTGAGTAAACAAATGAAACACAAATTATTTTCGAGAGCAAACTTACGTCGCGCTTCATTCGATTCTTTACTAAATTTCGGACAAGAAGTAATCTTATGATCAGCTGAGCAAAATGTACATAATAGCAATCTTTTTTCTTTTACGACATGAAATGATTGTGTTCCCTTTGGTTGTGGATGTTTTAACTGTTTATGCCTACTATCTTGTTTATCTAAATGTTCTAAACCCCTAAAACGGCTATATAAATATTCAGAAAATTGTTCAAATGTAGGTAGCTCGTCACTTGATTCCGATGCAACCTTCAATTCCCACGCTTTTCTAGTCTCTTTATCTAATTTTGCGCTAATTATATGAATCACAATCAGATCCCATGAAGACACATCCACACCCAGATTTTTTATTGCCTCTAAACAGTCTGACGTAGTACTTATCAAACTTTTAATGTCCGTAGCCGATTCCGACACTAAACTCTTTTGACTAAGCAAACGCTTCAAAATGCCGTTGGCTAAAAACCGTTTATTGTTGTACATGTCGTCCAACTTTCTCCACGCAATTTGATAACAATCAGACGACATTTTAATATTTCGCAAAAGCTGCTCAGCCTCTCCAGTCAGATGTCCTCGGAGGTAATAAAACCTTTGAGCATCATCTAAGGCCTTGTTTTCATGCACAAGTCCTAAAAACAAGTCCCTAAACGTCTGCCACTCTGTATAATTCCCAGAGAACATTGGAATTTTAATCTCAGGCAACTTAAAACGTGTACTTGAACTCTGATTTGATACCACAACACTTTGCGTATTTGAATTTAATTTACTTAACATTTCTTTTAAATCAGTCTTATAATCAACATACAACTCTTCTACATCGTCATATATTGCATTTTTGTGGTAGTTCGAACTATACAAATCAGATCTTTTGACTTGACTTATAATTTTAGTATGAGTGTCTGAAAATAAAGTCCATTGTTGCTCTAAGTTATCAAGCCTAGTTTCGACATAAGCAATAGGTAAGCGCTCTCTTGGCGATTTCTTAAAATTGGACTTAGCTTTTAACATTTTAGCTCTAATGTCCTCTTGTAAATCGCTAAAGGCTTCCATTTTGTAAAGATAAAATGTCAACAATTATATTGAAAACCAAACAAATTATAATTATTTTAAATTATTTCTAAGTCTTTAAAGTTGGGAGCGAAATCGGGCATAGGTTCCCCGTCAAAACCACTTTTTAAAACTAACACAAGTTCTAACTACGATTTTACAAAATTAAATTTTCTAAGTTAATATTAAATAAATTTTAAAGTTCAAAATGTTCTATTAATTATTGACTTCTGTCTTCCTGATTATTAATAATTGAAAGTACTTACAGTTTTTCTTCTCAAACCACTCACAGCACGATATTTGCACTTCACTACACTTATAACGATTTAGTGCACCACACAAGTGGCGCCCCCTGCCGGCGCCGCACACAACGCCCGCTGCTTGTAAGCAACACACGAGTGTCGCCCCGCACCTCCCTTGCGCCTTCCTCCGGTTGCTGCTGCTCACGAGTTGGCTGCACCTCGCCTGACTTCCAGCTGCTGCACCGGTTCCACCTCCAGCTCCTGGGTACCTCTCACCTGGGTCCCCACTGAAGGGGCTGCTCTGGACAGCGATCCACTGCCCAGTATTGACGCGAAGGGTGGTAATCTCTACCACCACCGGAGACTACCAAAAACACTCGCGACCAATTCGGCTCGAAGGACCATGTACAACTTTTACATAGGGTCCTGATGAACGAGGAGTAAATAATACCACTATATACGAGCGAATAGGGTATATTAAATAACAATAGGTTCACACAAAAATTCAAAATCAAAAAGGGTATACCTTATCAGCGGTAACAAAACCATAGCGCGATCTATCTCGATCCCAACGCCATCTATCGAGCGACGAGACAACATTTGTGCTATTTCACGTTAGACCACATTCCAAATTACATCGATCACGCTATGGCTTCGAGTACAATCCCGAACAGAGGCGATTTCTACTCTTATAGATACCAGTGGTTGCCCAATCACCAAAAGACACATTGCTATTAGCTGGAATAGTTTTATCTGTAAAAGTAGACTTAAACTCTGTTAGGTACATTTTAAAAACTTATCATATAAAGTGTTAGAATTCTTATAATTCGACAAAAAAGGCAATTTGTTGCTGAGTTTAGCTTTGAAAAATTCAATGCGTCTTTTAGTCTTCGGATTAACTGTGATAAATTGTTTTGACACTATATTTATTTCATTTGTTAAAGAAATTAACTGACCACAATGATCGGAATCAAGTACTGAAATTATTTCTTTGTTAACTGGCACAATGTCGGTATAAATATTGTCCAGGCAAGTGGCACTAGTGGGTGTTATCCTAGTTGGCTCCAGAAACAAATTCGCAAGGTTGTATGAAGAAAATAAACTTACAATTTTTGTGCTTAAACTACATTTTTCTAATAAATTTATATTAAAATCACCACATGTAATGATGGATTTCTTTGAATTTGTAAGTTTTCTTAATACTTCATCCATTACTGTTTCAAAACAGTCATACAAACCAGAAGGTGGTCTATACACGCTTAATACAATAAACCGCTCCAATTCCACACAGGCTATTTCAACAGTACGCTCAACAGAGTAACTAACTATATCTTTGCGATCTTTGAATTTAAGCTGATTACTTATCAGTATAAGTGAGCCACCATGTATAGCGTTTACTCTGCTGAACGAGCTATCAATCTGGTGCTTGGGTGATTCTCCAAAAAACCTTAACTTTTATTTAACAAGTCATTATCCTCCCAGGTTTTTAAGCATCTTAGTAATTTATTTTATACAATATTTTTAATCGGTTGCTTGTAAGCAGTGGTGAGATTTAATTTAATAAAATAATTATCTGTGTTTTAATCAGCAGACTCGTTAATTTTCGGTTGAGGATAATGACATTACTAATTTTTTTTTAATTGATCTGAAGAATCACCCGCTTACCAAAATTGAACATGAGCTGATGAGGTTTTAGCCAATGTTCAGTGATACACAAAATATCCACATTATTACAATTTAAAAATAACTCTATTTCTAATTCTTTGCTCATAAAGCCTTGAATATTTTGGTGAACCAGACTAATATTATTTTCAATTTTCTATAGAAAAAAAAACGTTGCCTACACTAGGATTTTCTCCTGTGTCGTGGGTGCGTTTACAAACACATGTTTCACATACTTACATAATAATATCACTGGGATGTGACGTACATCAGCACGCCACGTAAATAAAATTGTAAATGCGACCTCTGAAGAAGTTGTGTGTAGTATGTCGGGGGTAGAAGTGTATCCATTGAGTGATTGTAATTGTTCTAATTTTGCGGAGACTAGGGTAAACGTTGAGCGTGTTAAGTAAATTCTTTCTTTGCTTAACCTTGACTACTTGAATGCCGAGGAACAATTGTCTAATTATTCAAAAGTATTTACAAAGTCGCGCTATTTAATATATATCGTACCGGAAAATTCGAGTATTTATGTATCTTTATCGGCATCATCGCGAAACGAGATTTTAACTAGTTTTTATCGGCATTTATGCGCACAAAGCAACTAAAGATGTCAATGACGGAACCGTTTATTAGGAAATATATTTATTGAGCCTTACTCGTCAGTCTACTTCGGTCTACCACAACTACACGACAATTAAAGCAGATCAACAAACTCATGGCAGCGCGCGAGTGTCGTAAACAGTAGCCGGCGTCACCCGCGACACACGCGGTGCGCCAGAAATAGCGGGAACGAGGTCACGCCGGCGACGCCCGCCGCTGTCTCGCCAGTTTATAGTCATCCGCCATGCACGCGCCGACTCCGCACCGAGCCGCGCTGCTGGCGCTGCTGCTGGTGCGCGCCGCCGCGCAGGACTTGCTCATCGGTCAGTGTCTGCCGGCAGCCGCGCCCCGTGCGAGCGTGCCGGCTGTAGCGATGTCCTGTGCCCGCAGGCGTGGTGGAGCAGCCGGGACGCGCGCTGCAGCTGGCGGCCGCAGTGGACGCGGCGCTGCAGGCGGCGGGCGCGGCGGCCGTGGCGCCGCTGGAGCCCGCCGAGCCGCTGGCGCCGCCGGCCGCGGTCTGCGCGCAGGCGGCGGGCGGCGCGGCCGCGGCGCTGGCGGGCGGGGACACGCGCGCCACGCGGCTGGCGGCGGCGGGCGCGGCGCGCGCGGCGCTGCCGCTGCTGCTGGTGGAGCACGCGCCCGTGGACGCGGCGTGGGAGGCGCTGCAGCTGTACCCGCACCCGGAGGTGCTGGCGCAGGCCTGCGCGGAGCTGTTCCAGGCGAAGGGCTGGCGGCGCGCGGTGCTGCTGCACGCGGAGGACGCGCGCGGCGCGGCGCTGCTGGCGGCGGGCGCGCGCCCCCCCACGCTGCTGGCGAGGCAGCTGCCGCCCAGCCACGAGGATGCACTGCTCAGGTCCTACTTGATGTATTGTTACGTTAACGCCAGAAACGAAGAGCTGACGTTAGTGTCACAACTTCAGTAGAATTTATTATATCAGCGCTATACAAGTTACAAAGAAAACGGTTCACGTTAGGTTCGAGTTAGGTCTCCCCGCGGGCAGTACCTACTCCCTATTTTGAAATTAAAGCACGACTGAATCTGGCCAGTTGCTGACACAATTATAGATTTGTATCTCTGGTCTTACTTTAATTTATATAGAGGTACCTATTGGTTCAATTTATTTAATTAATCATACACACATAATAAATATTCCTTCTTCAGAAAAAAATAAAATTGAAGTACTCTCACAGCTTTTCCTACTTATATTATAAATGCTCGATCAAACTCCACATAACGACCACAGGACGCTGCACAACCTTACACCAGAGGATATACCAACTAGATACCTATTTAAAACTGTTGACTTTGGCGCAGATAAATGATCATTCCATGAACAAGACTGAGTAAGACTTCCAAGAAATTTTAGTAAAACCGTTTCAGTCTGGACTCCTTATTTATAGGATATATTTAGATACAACAATTTCTATCTATCGAAATTGTACAAGTTTTGTTTAGGTATTTAAAATGAACTTTCAACTTATTATCCTCTACTAACCGCTTAATGGCGCTAAGGAGAGCATTGTTAATTTCATTTCCATAAGAACTTTTACAGTGTCCTTTAAATAAATAAATGAATATAATTAATGAATGTTTGATTATGATTCATTATAATCATCATCATCATCATCAGCCAAAGGCATTAATCACCACGCTTGCTCAATGCGGGTTGCCGATTTCAAACTTATAATTAGAAATTAAAGTCCTTTCCTCACGATGTTTACCTTCGCCGTATGTCAGTGGTGTCTAAATAATCATAGAAAGTACATGTAACTCGGAAAAGTCACATTGGTACTTGCCAGGTTTTGTACCTACACCCTCATGAATGAGAAGCGGGCTCCTTAACCTTAGGGCCACCACGACGTTATAACCATTATATATACATATATATTATCATTCAAAAAGTAGATGTTTATAATTGATATAGATAATGTCTGCGAAATTATTTATAAGACCAAAAACAAAGGTGGTCCAAGAATACAACCCTGTGACATACCATGTCTTTTAATTAAATATTGTATGAAAATCATTATAGTAGGTACGTTATTTCTTCCGCAAATGAGCCTAACGCTAAATTATTGAAGAACACTCCAGTTCTTCTCATTTTACTATATATTTATTAAGTAACATTTAACATTGTATAACCTTGAAATGCAATTGATGGGTACTTTGAGGTATCCCAGATCTTGAAATCTTGAAAATCAATCAAATTGTAAGTCTTATGCTTCTAATCTGAAAGTTGAATGTATTCACGCAGTAAGGATTACGGAGACACGTGTTTACAGGAACTTGTTGCTGGTGCTGAAGAAGTCGGGCTTCACGAACTTCGTGGTGTGGTGCGAGGCGGAGTGCGCGGTGCGCGTGCTGGACGCGGCGCAGCGCGTGGGGCTGCTGGCCGAGCGGCACTCGTACATCGTGCTGGCGCTCGACCTGCACACGCAGGACCTGCACGACTACAGCCACGGCGGCGCCAACGTCACGGCGCTGCGGCTGTTCGACCCCGAGGCCGCCGAGGTGGTGGAGGTCATGGCGCAGTGGCGCGACATGTACCTGGAGCGGCTGCGCGCGGCGGGCGGCGCCGAGCTGGCGGAGCGAGCCGACGAGCTGGCGGACGTCGATCGCGTCATGGCGGCGCCGCCCACGGCCCTGCTACTGGCGCACCTGGCGACGGGGCTGGCGGCCGAGGCCTGGCACCGCCTGCAGCTGCCCGCCGCCGCGCCCGCCGACTGCGAAGCGGGCGCGGGCGCCTTCCACGCAGACACATTGCTGAACTATCTCCGTTCGGTAAGTTGGTTATCTAAATCTACTTGCAGACCGATCGTCTTCAAAATTGGACATATTTGCATGATACCCCTGACTTTTTAAAGACAAGGAATCATTGTTTCTAAATCATCATAGGTCCATATATTGTATGTTTAATGTATCGAGTAATCATGGAGAACGAGTACCGCCCCGTGACAGCAACCATACTCATCGCCCAACTCAACCATATTATAGGGAATTGAGCGATCCAGTGCCAGTGCCACTGCCAATGTGACCTTTGAGTGAGCATTACAAGCTGATGTAAGGACCGCCATTCTTCTAGTCTAAGAAATTGTTACAGGGTACTCACATTTACAAAATCAAGTTTAACAATATACATAATGCAATTTTACTAAAGTTGAGAAGTCCCGTTCAACCAAAAATCCACTGGAACATTATTTATTTTGGTGTAGGTTTGCTATCCTGTGATACCAGCATGTGTCCAAGCATCTTTATCTATCTTATATATAAAAATGGATCGCAAAATGTGTTGGTAAGCGCATAACTCAACAACGCCTGGACCAATTTTGCTAATTCTTTTTTTGTTGTGTTTGTTATTGTCAGGAGAAGGTTCTTATCACGAAAATATTGGACAGTAAAGGGGAAGATTAGGAAAAGTGACCCTTTGATAGCGATATAGTTGGACCCGTGCGAAGCGGGGGCGGGCCGCTAGTATTCTATATATATATATATAATGTGTTGGTAAGCGCAAAACTCAACAATGGCTTAACTAATTTTGTCAATTCTTTTTTTGTTGTGTTCGTTATAGTCAGGAGAAGGTTCGTATGTAAGAAAATTTTAGAAAAGTAGAGGGGCGAGCTGCTAAATGGGGACCCTTTCGTCTTTATCGAGATAGTTGTAGACCCGTGCAAAGCAGGGGCGAGCTGCTAGTCTACAATATAAAATTAAAAAGTGTATATTCAGTATATAGTATGCTTGTCTACATAAACTTTTCTTTACACATAATTTAAAATTTCTTTCATTGAAATTGTTGTACTTCGCAGCAGAATTAGGAGCAGCTTTCCACATTAGCTGCGAAACAATAATTATCGGAAGCTTAAAGAATAGACTAACTTCGCCCGTTTTCCTAACATGTCCCTTCACTGCCTTGCTCCTATGAGGTAATTGTAGCGTGAAGAAAATGATATTATAACCTGTACAGGAATATGAAAAATAATTGAAACAAGCTTCATTAAAATCTGTCGAGCTGTTTTTTGTTTCTATGAGGATCACACAGACAGACGGATAAAAATTTAGAGATTGCATTTTAGGTATCAGTTTTATTTTATTTTTTATATATTTAATGTGCAGGATTGACCTCTCTACAGATTTATTAGAAGTATTGTTGTCGTGCCGCTCGGCAGCAATCATTCGCGATCGCATTTTTAATGTTATAAAAACGAAACCTACATTGTTCTAGGAGGCAGACAGAATGAAATTCTTCCTCACATCTGGTTTTGCTTACATTAACAGAAATACCATCTGTTAATTACCGAAGTAATCGATGATCTATTGTAGCTATTAATAGGGTTGAAATTAAACCACTTATTACGCTTGAACTGCTGGTTCGTATATTTGAACTGGGTATGAACTATGTATGTGAACTATGGTCTGAACTAATTTGTACTGTGAATCTGAACTATGATTCTGAACCCTAATAACAAAATAAATTACACTCTTATAGTATTTGCTGTAACGAAACCATAGCTTGAATTTAAATCGGGCAACGCCATCTATCGAGCTATGAGACAACTCGTTACAATAAAATATCCTTTGAACTAAACATACATATTATTACTATTCTGATGCTCTTGAAAATACCGCCCACCAAGGACATTTAGTGGCGGAATGTCCTTCTTTACATTTGTCCTTGAACTTATAATAAAAATAAATAAGTAATATAAAAATATTTTTTTCCTAATAAAATATTGCACATGTTTAGTCAAAATACAATTAATTAACGGATAAATCACAACCGTTGTTCTTAACATAACATAAAACTTAACCATTCTTAACAAAAGTATAAATGAACTTTGTAAACATAACAGTGAACTTAAATAACTAAAAAAATACAACCTTCAATAAAACTATATAATTATGTACTTAAAATAAACCTTAGAACTAATACAAACAATATTTATAATTGATTTATAACGCATGAGTGGAGATGAGTAAAAGCATGTAATTATAAAACTATACACTATTGATCTGTTACTGGGAATATGCACAGTTTGCTAGTTGATCTCTTGATAGTGCTCGTTTTGGTTTTTAATGTGACAACACGAGTGACCTTATCATCTCCTGGATGTTTTTCTACTATACGTCCTAGCATCCAACGACCAGGAGGAAGATCGTCCTCCTTAATTAGAACGACGTCTCCGATATTTGGTTTAGGAACAATGAGTGACCATTTATACCTGTTCATTAAAGTGCTTAAATATTCAGAAGACCACCGCTTCCAAAATGATTGCAACATTCGCTGCACGAATTGCCACCTTGTTAAAGAACCTACTGAGACATTCTCATAATTGCAATCCGGTGCATTAATCAACGGTTCTCCGATTAAAAAATGTCCGGGAGTCAAAGGCATTGGTTCTCCTGGATCGTCTAAATGAATAATGCTAATAGGCCGTGAATTCAAGCAAGCCTCGACCTGAGTAAGAAATGTACTGAGTTCTTCGTATGTGAGAGTAGATTCACCTAATACGCGCTTAATATGGTATTTCGTGGACTTCACTCCCGCTTCCCAAAGACCGCCAAAATTGGGTGCATGGGGGGGAATAAAGTGCCATTCAGTGCCATTTGCTTCTAAACTTTCTGCGATTGAGGATTGTAAATTTAAAATTTGCTGCAGTTCCCTAGACGCACCAACGAACGTGGTACCATTATCGCTCCACAACTTTGAACAGTGACCTCGTCGAGACACAAATCGTGTAAAAGCCGCCAAGAATGCCTGTGTGGTCATGTCACTGACTACTTCGAGATGAAGTGCGCGTGTGGACATACACACAAACAAACAAATGTACCCTTTATACGATTTATGCCCCCTACCTTTAGTGGTTCTGATATTTTTGGTACCAGCGTAATCAACGCCACTGTGCAGGAACGGTCTTGCTGGAGTGCAGCGAATAGATGGAAGCGAACCCATCATTTGGTTACGAATAGTTGCTCTTTGCTTGGCACACACGATGCACTTACGAACGTGTTGCTTCACGAGCTCTCTTAAACCAATGACCCAATAAGCGGTTCGCAGATAACACTGGTCAACAAAATTTCAACTTTGTCGTGCCACATGGACTTTTTTGATATTTTTTACTTTAATTGGTGATTGTAATAAAAAATAAACAGTTAAAAAAAATTTGCTAGACAAAGATTTTATTCTATTGAGTAATTTAAAATATTAAGAAAAAATACGGATCTCGTAAATCAAAAGTTTATTTTTTTATAAATCACTTAGAAAATCTAAGATTTTCTTGAATGTTTAGCTTCTGGTTGGTCCCTTTTAATTGTCCAGCAGTAATCTGCTAACATATTTGGGCTCTATTTGCCCTGGTACCACTTTTCCATATCAGAAATATCCTGATGGAACCTCTCGCCGTGCTCGTCACTGACAGCCCCTAAATTGTCAGGAAAAAAATCCAGGTGCGAGTCTAAAAAATGGATCTTAAGTGACATGTTGCAACCTAATGCTTGATATGACAATAACAGCTCGCTAACCAACTCTCTGTAGCTGTCACTCTTGTGGTTACCCAAAAAATTTGCAACAACATTTTTAAAAGACTTCCATGCTGATTTTTCTAAATCGCTTAATTTTTCTTCAAATCTTGAATCTTTTATTAACTCCCTCCCTAATTTGAGGGCCAACAAAAATACCCTCATTTATCTTTGCATCACTTACACTTGAAGTAGACGGTTGTGAATCGTCGTTCTCAACAGACGTAGTTGCAACTGGTATTAGTTCTGGCAATTTTTTACAATGAGAGACTGGTCTTATAGCCGAAGATAAATTAGGGTAAATAACTGTGTTTTTTTTCTTGTAATTTATACCTTTTACGTCAGTGAGACAAAAATAGCAATCTGAAACGTGATCTCGCTGTTCAGTCTATATCATGGGTACAGCAAACGGCATAGGTCGTGCACCTTTTTTCCAGTCAGTTAAATTTTTCACACACGTTATGCAACAGACAGGCCCAGGATTTGTCTTGATGGGCGACAGAAAAACCAAAACATTGGTGATAACACTCCATCACAAGATTTGTAAGATTTCGTCGTTGTTTTTTGAATGTAAGTTCTCCGCAGACATAACAAAAACAGTTAGGATCATTAATACACTTCCTTGACATGCTCACAGGGTTAATAAATCCCAAAAAAGTGTTCAAATTCAAAGATAAATATTTTTATAACGATTAACTTGTAAGCGTTTCTGTTAAGTTACTGCCGTAGTACTAGTTAATGAGTATTACCGTATCACAACAAATAGGAGGCTAATTGACATATGGCAACTGTGATTTAATAATGAGGGTAGATTGATAAAACATAATTAGCTATGAAAGTTCGTGTGGCAAAACCAGTGTTGACCAGTGTAATTAATCATTAATTGTGGACCTCCATGTAGAGTCTTACAATGAGCGTCCGCAATTAAAAGTAGTGTAAAGTGTGACTTCTTGGGCAAAATTATGGGATGCTTTACCTGCTCATCTAGTGGTGCTTTATCTATTCGTCCCTGAACTCTCATAATGCCCTTATTATCAAGGTAAGGACATAAGGATTTGAGTATACCTTTCAAAGGTAAGCCTGATTTATCATGTAATTGTTTGTGTTCTGTTGAAAACTCTTTCTTTTGTACTATCTTTATACAACATTGTAATGCTTCATGTATTTCTTTATTTTGCAGGTAAAGTTTACTTCTGGTGTCTGTGTTTAGGAATCGACGACAATATGCGACGACCCTCAATAATTTTGATAATGAAGAAAATCTCTCAAGTAAGTCAAAATCATCTGATATAATAACTCCTACGTGAGTCTTAATCGACTGTTCTAAATTGATCTCTAAGTTATTTGGTCTGATATAAGTAATTTTCTTTTCTTTCAGAAACTGTGGTCCTGAAAACCACATTGTATTTTGCCTAAACAAACTTGGTGACAATCCTCGCGAAGCAGCATCCGCTGGATTATCCTTTGTCGACACGTGGAACCATTATGAAGCCGTCATTGTGGTTAATATTTCGGATGTCCTATTGGCTACAAAGGTTTTCCACTTACTGGGGTGACTGTTGATCCAAGCTAACACCACAGTAGAGTCTGTCCACGCTTTAACTTTATCTTTGGGTATATCCAATACCTCAGCAGTTTTCATCAACAGTTGTGACAGTAGGACTGCCCCACATAATTCCAGACGGGGAATACTAACTTGTTTTATAGGTGCCACACGAGTCTTTGCAGTCAACAATGACACCTTGACCTCTCCAACGTTATTAGTAAGTCGCATGTATACTACAGCGGAATATGCTACTTTTGACGCGTCACAAAATCCATGGAACTCTACATATCGGATTCTACGGTTTTGCTCAACCAACAAGGAATATGAACTTCGGTCAGTAAAATCAGTTCTTCGCGGTAAGTACGCCATTCTTCTATTAATTCCTTCGTAAGTGGTTCATCCCAACGGAGCCCCGCAAGCCATAATTTCTGAATAAAGGTTTAGCTACAACTATTGCTGGCGCTAGCCAACCCAACGGGTCGAATAATCTAGCTATAACTGAAATTACAGTTCTTTTAGTTGCAGGTGTATTCTGAAGCGGCGGAAGATGGACGGTGTACTGAAAGGAATCTTCATTCCGATCCCAGGTAAGTCCTAAAATCTTCATCGTATTATCTGATTTCATTTCTAATTCTTTTTGATCTTTCGCTCTATTCTCATTTTGTTCGTTGTTCTCTACCTTTTGTTCTCTTGCATTAATTTGATCTAATAATTCTTTATTGTTAGTGTTCCACTTTTGAAGCTCGAAACCTCCCTTTGCTAAAAGACCTTTCATTTGCTGGTATATTTCGATTCCGGTAGTGACGTCATCACATCCGGTCATTAAATCGTCCATATAGTAGCATCTCAATACTTTCTCGGCCACGAGAGGGTAATCGTCGCCTTCGTCGTAAGCAATCTGATGGAGAGTTCTAACCGCCTGATAAGGTGCCGACGCTGTTCCAAAGGTAACTGTTACGAGTTCGTAGTCTTTGATCGGATCATTAGGATTGCTCCGCCAGAGTATCCTTTGAAACATAGCATCCTCATCAGCCACTCTTATTTGACGATACATCTTGATTATGTCTGCTACCAGTCCAATAGAGTGAGTTCTCCACCTCATAATTGTGTGCCTTAAATCCGTTTGTAATGTTGGGCCAATCATCAAAGTATCATTTAAAGATACTCCTTTATTGTTCTTTTGGGACGCATTGAACACAACTCGAACCTTAGTTGTGGTTTTATCTTCTCTTACGACGGCGTGATGTGGTAAGTACACGGCTATTTCCTTTTTATTGTCTTCTTGATTTACAGGTCGCAGGTGTCCTAAACGTAAGTATTCTTCTATTACATCAGAGTATTTTTCCTTCAAATCAGTGTTCTTCGCTAACCTTTTCTCTAATGATTTTAACCTGCTTTCAGCTATGGCGCGAGAATCACCCGCTGTGCACTGTGGATCCTGAACTCGAAATGGTAACCGGACTTCGTACCTACCGTCTGCTCTTCTTTTAGTAGTAGCCTTGTAAAATTCTTCACAAAGTTGTTCTTCTGGCGATAAAACCTTTTTAGTACTAATTTGATCTTCAATTTCCCAAAACTGTTTGAGAATTTGATCTAAATTGAACTGAGCGTGAGCTACACTAACGCATGGTTGTGTGTAACTTGAACTATGTTTATTTGAACTATTTACTACACCAGATAGAATCCATCCTAATGTGGTGTTCTGAGCAATTAAAAAAGTAGTTGGACTTTTGATCATGCCTGTTTTTATTATGCAACCATACACATCTGCGCCTAGTAAAATATCGATTTTACTAGGTTGATTAAACTGTGGGTCGGCCAACTGTAAGTTGGTGATATCGAGCCAATTGAAAGCATTTTTATTTAATGCTTGATCTGGTAAGTATGCAGTTATTTTACTGATGACGTAAGCATTTAAGTTAAGCTTAAATTTGGAATCTACCATGGATTGAATAGTGATATTTACCATATATTTTGCTATAGTTGACTTTTGACCTAAGCCTGATACCATTCCATGTATTGGGATTTTCTTAAGCTCCAACAACTGCACTGTGTCCTCGGTCACAAAACAAGCCTGTGAACCCTGATCTAATAAAGCTCTTACTACCTGATAGTTATCCGTCTTGGACTCAGCTTTTACTTGAGCAGTGGCTAGTAAAACTTGCCCAGGAAAAGGAACTGTGTTGGTAGATATACAAGAGACTACTGGAACTGAACTAGTCGAAGGACTATCTTCAACGTCAGCCGGTTTTGAAGAAGAACCGTCCAGATTTGGGTGCAGCAAAGAATGATGACGCTTATGGCAAACTTTGCAAGTTGTTGGCTTCTTACAGTTTATGACCGTGTGATTGCCTCCTAAACAATTAAAACAAATGTTGTTTTTCGCTACAAACATACGTCTTTCCTCCAAGGGTACCTTTGCAAATCTTTTGCAAAAGCAGAGCTTATGAGACTCATTACAGTACTCACAACGTATGTTGCTTGAACTCACTACCATAGCCTTAGCGACATGAGAATGATTGGCCTGATTTTGAATGTTTCTCTTAGGCTCGATAAATTCAAGAGCGCGGAATCGATTCTCTAAGAATGTAGCAAATTCGTCATAAGTTGGCAATTCATTGGAATCGTGATTACTAAGGCTTAATTCCCATTGTTTACGCGTTTCTGAATCTAGTTTGAAAGTAACTATATGAATGATAATGACATCCCAAGTTGTCACATCTATCTTTAGATTTTTCAAACCATTAAGACAGTCGTTAGTTGTGTCTAGCAATTCCTTTAAAGAACTCGCTGACTCGACATGCAAACGTTTAAACCCGAAAAGACGTTTCAAAATACAGTTGACTAAATACTTTTTATTGCTGTATCTTTTCTCTAATTGTGCCCAACACTGGCTGTAATTTGCATCGGACACCGGTGTTTGTCTAACAAGCTGTTCCGCTTCACCGCTAAGATGACCTTTTAAGTAGTGCATTTTTTGAAGGTTGTCCAAATTATTATTATTATACACGAGTGACACAAATAAGTCTCGAAAAGTTGTCCACTCTGAGTATTTGCCACTAAATTTTGGAATTGATATTTTTGGTAGTTTTACAAAAGAGTTTGAACTTGAGTTATAAGAGCTACCAGAAGTACCAGGTTCAGGAATAGATGTCTTTGGAGCATCATATTTAGCAAGCATGGACTTTATCAAACATGTATAGGTAATATAAGTGTCTTCTGTACTATCATATTATAATTCCGAAAGCATTTTATTCCCCTGTGTTTCATATTTTTCATGCAGTTTAGTATAATTAGATACAAACAAATTCCAATCCCGTTCTAATAAATCTCGCCTAGTTTGAATGTAATCGAAAGATAACCTATCTTTAGGCGACTTTTTAAAATTAGTCAAGCCTCGTTGAATTACGTTTTGAACTTCCTTTAGAAGATTAACTAAACCTTCCATTTTATTATATATAATAATAAGAACTCTAATAAAATAATCAAATTTCACTAACAGCAACAATTTAAAATAAATTTCATATACACTTGACTCTTTTTTTTTAAGTGACCTAAGTGTAAAATTTTCTAAAAATTTTACAAGTGTTTGAACTTTATTTACTGGGACAGAAATCGGGCATAGGTTCCCCGTTCCCCCGTTTTTCATAAAATTATTCTAAGTCTAAGATGAACTAATTACTCTAAGATAAACTAAATTAAAATAAAACTAAGTCTTCTTGCTTCCGAGATCACAATTTGATAAAATATTCTAAGTTAGAAATTCCTTTGGAATAGAGTCCAAAATTGCTTGAAATTTCACTTGCACTATTAACAATGAAAAGAGTACTTACAGTTGCACTTCACTTATATACATACGACGATTCTTGGTTGAAATGATGATGTCACTAGCACAAGCAGCTAATGGCGCCGTCTGTACTGCCAATGTTGTCCTCATTTGAAACGGCGGAATCTTCAAGTGTTGCCAGTTGTCCTGAGTGTTGTCGACTTTGCGCTTCTCCAAATAGCTCGGCTGATGATCTTGCTGCAAGGGGTCCGTACCTTTGCCGCAGCAATCCACTGCGAGTACGGGAAGTGAACCAAACAGGCCACTTCGTTTTGTTCTTACAAAAATATCCGGATCGTACGGACCAATGTTAATTACCGAAGTAATCGATGATCTATTGTAGCTATTAATAGGGTTGAAATTAAACCACTTATTACGCTTGAACTGCTGGTTCGTATATTTGAACTGGGTATGAACTATGTATGTGAACTATGGTCTGAACTAATTTGTACTGTGAATCTGAACTATGATTCTGAACCCTAATAACAAAATAAATTACACTCTTATAGTATTTGCTGTAACGAAACCATAGCTTGAATTTAAATCGGGCAACGCCATCTATCGAGCTATGAGACAACTCGTTACAATAAAATATCCTTTGAACTAAACATACATACTATTACGTTTCTGATGCTCTTGAACACCATCCAAGTCCATCATTTATCGAGGAACTTTGAACAGATTAATTAAATTGCAATGGATTGGGACCGGCGAACGATGCGCAACTTAGTAGCAGCGCGGAGTGGTGGTTGCAGGAGGAGTGGAACAGCGAGGACGGCGCCGGGCGGCTGGTGGGCGGCGCCGTGTCGTGGGAGGTGGACGGCGGGCGGCGCGACGTGCAGCTGCAGGTGGTGGAGCTGGCGCGCGGCGGCCGCCTGCAGCGCGCCGGGCTCTGGGCGCCGCGCGCCGGCCTCGCCTGGTCGCGCCGCGCCGCGCCCGCCGCCTTGCCGCCGCCCGACTCCATGACCAACCGCACCTTCACGGTGCTTATCGCTGAGGTATGCTAATACCGAGGGTTCGCCTCTCTGTACTATGCACCGAGTTAAGTCGTTAACTGGCATTCACATTCTTGCTCTCATGGTGGTTTTATTGACTGACTTCGAAACTCATAACTTTCAACAATATCGTAGATTACTTACAACGTCCCCAATATGGACAGACGACCGGCATGATAAGAAGGGGCATAAAAAAGTTTTATTTTATTTACTGTGCGCTCAGATACTGCAATAGGTATACAAGGGCGTACAATCGGCTGGGCTCCGTATGTCATGCCGTGTACCTTCTGTTGCAGAACAAGCCGTACGTGATGCACCAGGAGTCGACGCACCGGCTGTCGGGGAACGATCGCTACGAGGGTAACCACCATCTGGTTGCGACTAGATATCTTAATCTGAAATGGAATGTCCGAACCTTATCGAAACTACCAAACTTTTTTGTTCAATGAGTTTTACAAATAAACAGTTTAAACGAAATATTATAACATTTGACTTGGATAGTAACACCTGACGGAGCTAACGAGCGCGGCGCTGGTCCCCAGGGTTCTGCATCGAGCTGATCGACAAGCTGGCGAAGCTGCTGCAATTCAACTACACGTTCGTGGAGCAGGATGACGGTGACTACGGCACCAGAGACAACGTCACCGGCAAGTGGTCGGGCATGCTCGGCCGGCTCATCGAGGATGAGGTGAGCGTCGCATGCGTCGACAGCGTGACAACGTGACAGCTTGACAGCTTGACAGCGTGACAGCGCGGCTTGTTGTAGAACATCGACTTCGCCATCACGGACCTGACCATCACGGCAGAGCGCGAGCGCGCGGTGGACTTCACCACTCCTTTCATGAACCTCGGGATCAGCATCCTGTTCCGCACGCCGAAGCAGCCCGAGCCCGCGATCTTCGCGTTCCTTCTGCCTTTCTCCAATGGTGTAAGACATCTCCCTCCTCTCTAATTAACTCTATTAATTCCTTATACATTGCCTACTCGAATGTTTAATCTCCAGTGCGACTTATTAGTGTGAGCTAATAGTCCGTCATTATTATAATTCATAACTGATTTATTTTATGTAAGTATATCTATGTACACGTCCGCCTGAGCAGGTTTGGCTGTGTCTGGGCTTCGCGTACCTGGGCACATCGCTCATACTGTACGTAGTGGGGCGCTTGTGCCACGAGGAGTGGCAGAACCCCTACCCTTGCATCGAGGACCCGCCGGCGCTCGAGAACCAGTTCACTCTGGCTAACGCGCTGTGGTTCAACCTGGGTGCTGTGCTACTACAGGGTTCGGAGATTGCACCCGTGTAAGTAAGTGCTGGGCCCCTGTAGGCGCCCTGCAGGTCCCCTCACCGCATATTGCATATTGCAGGGCCTACAGTACACGCGCCGTGGCCAGCGTCTGGTGGCTGTTCGCGCTGGTCATCACCAGCTCGTACACGGCCAACCTGGCGACGCTGTTGGCGACGAAGTCCTCGGACCAAGTTATCAACAACGTACAAGAACTAGCAGACAACCAGCTCGGCATCGATTACGGTGCCAAATACGGAGGCTCCACGTACACATTTTTCGAGGTAGTGTATGTTTTTTTAAATGAGGCAAGTTACCAGAAGCCCAGTCCTTTCCATTGTGCAACTCTTAAAGAAGAAAGTAGAAAAGCTAGAAAATGATCGTAGTGTCATTGAGCAAAAACAAGTTAGAAATTCCCCTCTTATACTTCCTGGCATTTCCAAAAGTAACCTTGAGCTGAAGTAACACAGCAGGTCTGCTTGCAGCACTCGCAGAGCGAGCTGTACCAGCGGATGTTCGAACACATGCGCACCAGGAAGATGCCCGGCTCCAACCTGGAAGGCATTCGCAAGTAACGTATGGCCTCACGTCGCTGCACGGTGCACACTGCGCCGCGACAGACAGTGCCCACTGCTCACCTGGTGGATGCTTCCAGGGTCGAGAGCGGCAAGTACGCGTTCCTCATGGAGTCCACGACCATCGACTACGAGACCGAGCGCAACTGTGGCGTCACGAAGGTAACTGGGGGGGACCCGAAACTCTCAGCTAGTGGACCACAAGTGGGTGGTGGTGGTGCGTGTCATTCAACCGGGTGTTGTGTCCACAGGTGGGCTCGCTGCTTGACAGCAAAGGATACGGCATCGCAATGAAAAAGAGTAAGTGATTCGGTAATCCCCCTGTTGAGGCCTCTTTATAAATATTAGGTACATCTCGAAATTTTGCGACAGATTCCAAGTTCCGGCAAGCATTAAACCTGGGCCTGCTGAACCTTCAGGAAGCAGGCACTCTTCGTGAAATGCAGAAAATTTGGTGGAAGGAGAAACATGGTGGTGGCGCTTGTAAGGTACTTCCATAGTAGTAGTGTCACAAATTTCTAAAACAATTTTTTTCTTTTATTTTCTATTAGACTAATACTTGTAGCAGGCAATGTAAACGTCAAACAATGTTTTGGACATGAAAAACTGTTAGTCTGTCTACCACATCTATAGTGAAATTATTTGTTCGTGCTTCTGTGAAGACAGACGAGCAGCAGCATTATTAATTAGTTTTATTATTTAAGAACAGGGTAACACTAATGTTTTTTTATGTGATAGGACGGCAAACGAGCAGACGGATTACCTGATGGTAAGCAATCGGCGTCGCCCATGGACACCCGCAACAAAGAAGGAGTTACGAGTGCGTTGCCGACCTTTTAAGGATTAGGATTTTGGGGATTTAGGGATTGGGGTAGGGGAAGGATTGGGCCTCCGGTAACCTCACTCACACGGCGAAACACAACGTTGTGGTTGTTTCACGCCGGTTTTCTGTGAGGCCGTGGTATCACTCCGGTCGAGCCGACCCATTCGTGCCGAAGCATGGCTCTCCCACACTTCTAAATATTGATTCTGTATGTTTAGTAAAAAATACAGAATAAATTGAAAACTGAATTTTTAATAGGCAACAAAACCATTTTTCTCATCAACATTTTATGAAAAGTAAAAGTATAAGTATCTGACAACTCTGAGAAGAAATAAAAGGAACTCTTTCATTGTCCAGACAAAAATAAAATAATGTGGGAGAACTGTGCAAGTACACTCTGCAGCGGTCTTTTGAGGAAAGATCCACCAGACGCACGCACGTGCCAGATTACAACTACATCAACTAACGGGTGTTACTGAATTGTCTTTCACTTACAGTAATTGGGTAGTTTCCTAGGTCAAAAATAAATTAATTCGACGTTTTAATATGATAAAATATTGAAAAATAACTATACTTTTATTTATCAATCGATCGATACACTAAGTTTTAGATATTTTTTAGCTATTTTTTAAAAAATAAGTAAGCTATTTGACGCAAAAATGCTATGACGTCATGATTCAATGTTTCATACAATTTTCATAGAAAAGTATCGTTTTTGACATTTGGATAAAAGTATTGAATTTGACTAGTTGGAAACTACCGTATTGTGGATAATAAAGTCAAAATACTGAATATGTCACTGTCGTACGTGTAACCCTATTATAGGAAATCTCTGAGTGCGTATGCATGTCAATGTGTTTGACTGCACGGATGGCGCGGTGGCTAGACAACTGGCTGTCGTGCAACGTGTCGCGGGTTCGATTTCCGCACGGAACAACTCTTTGTGTTATCCACAAATTGTTGTTCCGGGTCTGATTTGAAATTGTATGTTTGTAACCGCACCCACGACACAGGAGAAAATCCTAGTGTGGGGCAACATTTTTTTAGCAAAAAATACCTCCAAGCTGGCACAAGTAGGTACGTACATTTTACTAGTCTAATTTAATTTCAATTGGTAACAAATCTCACACGTTAAGGTTGTAATAATTATTCAGTTTAACAATATTGAGATATATGTAAGGCCGTAGTTTCTCCGCCCATCCGTGCCAAAGCAGGGCTTCCCCACAATTATTTCTTGTGAAGCAATTCTGTGCATTATTTACGTCGCAATGATTAATTGTTCTTCTATTTATTTAACAAAATAACGACGTGTCATCTCCAAATAATAGTGCCCTCGGTTTATGTTGAAATAAAGAGTTCAGAGACTCATTTATACATATCATAAAGTGGAAAGGACCTAAGATTGAACCCTGTGTAAGCCCATACATATGCTAGCACCCCATGAATTCACTTTATTTACTTTTACGCTAAGCTGCCTATCCTTAAGGTATGACTTTAATACATTTAGAAGTTCCCGACAAATGCCATAGTGTTTCCAACGCAATGAAAAGCCTTCGACAGGTCACAAAATATTCCAACGACATCCTGTGATTTTCCGCACGACGACGCAAAAATATGCTCAACTAGAGTGGCAAAGAACGTGAATATGAAGATAATGATAGAGTCTGTTACAGCGGTCACCTTAAACATACAGCATACAGAGCATTGCATTGGCAGGTGGACGAGGAGCACGAGAGCGAGGAGTTGTCCATGAGCAACTTTCTGGGGCTTTGGCTGGTGCTGGTGGTGGGCAGCGCGCTCGGCATCGTGCTGTCGTGCTGCGACCTGGCTTGGGCCGCCGCGCGGCGTGCGCGCCAGGATGGCCAGCGCTTCCACAAACACTTTTGGGCTGAGCTACGCTTCGTCTTTCGTTTCGAGCAGTCTGTCAAACCCTTGCAGGTGCGTCGAAATCCTCGATGTCGTGCCTGAGACACGGAATATTCAAGTTTAACAAACTTTTTACGAAAGTAACAATCGAAACCATTGATGAGCAACTTTGATGTGACAGGGCCCGTTGAGTGGATCATCGAGCGAGTCAGTGCAGTCGGAGCGGTCAGCGCAGTCGGCGCAGTCGTTGCAATGTGAGGCGGAGGCGGAGGCGGAGGCGGAAGCCGACGCGGAGCGCGCGCGGTCGGGTTCGGGCGCGGGGCCGGGCGCGGAGCAGGGCGCGGGGCCGGGCGCGGAGCAGGGCGCGGGGCCGGGCGCGCCGCGCCGCCGCCGCTCGTCCATACACGCCGCCAGCTTGCGTCTGGCGCGCCACACCACGAGGGACTCCGCCACTCCCGCGCGCCGCTACTGACTGGCCTGCTGTTAAGTTGTGACAATGCAGGAAATCTCACTTCTGTAGATTCGCAATTAAACCTAAAGCAACGAAACACGAATTGAATTTCTGCTCCAGTATCGGATATCGTTGCATATTCAGTGTAGAAAAAATGTAAAATTAAATGATTTTATTTTGTTGTTTTCATGCTTACTCTGTATGGTTTCATAATTTTGTTTGCCGATGCTGAATAAACGCAGTTCTTATTTTAAATATATAAATATACTAAAATAATTCAAAATGTTGAAGGCTTGAAGTTATCCAAGGCTAAATAGTGTTTGGAGCAAACAACTGTTTGACAGAAAAGTCGCTAATTTTAGCCATTTGCTGGTTACAACTTACAACTGGATAATTTATGATTTGTATTCAACTGATGAATTGTTTGATTGCAGTTATGAACGTTTTTATTTATAAACCATTATAATGACTAATAACCGACTGAGCAAATCTGCAAACACTAATTAATAAAGATGTAGATATTTTTTTAACGTGACATTAGGTTTAGTTTTGTAATTATAATAGAAATAAAAATAAATCCATTATATTATACTTGATATTTTATTATTATCTATATACCTACCAGTTAACTTCAGAAATGTTAATTTGGAGCTGACAAGTACGCAGTGCTGTAATCTATTGTGGCATTGATTTTGACAACAATTGCGTAGACTTTGTTGGATAAAGTCATTGTAACATTGCGGCAACTAAAGCTAGTGTGTTTATAATGTATGAGGTGGTGATTATAATAGAGTGGAAAATGTTATTTACACCTTTTTTGTGGTATATGGATGGGATAGACACCAATGGACACCCGCAACAATAAAGGAGTTGCGAGTGCGTTGCCGGCCTCTTTAGGATAAGAATTTCAGATATTTAAGGATTGAAAAGGGATGGGGCAAGGAGGAGGGGGAGGTACTGGGCCTCCGATAACTTCACTCACACGGCGAAACACAACGCAGTGGTTGTTTCACGCTGGTTTTCTGTGAGGCCGTAGTATTACTCCGATCCAGCCGACCCATACGTACCGAAGCTTGGCTTCTCCCACTTTAACTGTCAGAAAACTATAAAAGCAAATCCTCCGATAACGTAGCTCTGTCAGCCGCTTCACCAAACACACTGGGAATTTGGCGAGCCGGACACTCGACGCAAAAACTATTGCGGCACAATGTCGACACATCGAAATCAAGAGTCATCTGCACTGGCTCTGGCACCGCTCCCCTGAAACATCAGGTCTTGCGGGGAAGCGATGTGGCGACTCACATGATGATCACGATGGACATTGTAGCGGCACTATCACGTCGCTACATTACTTAGATACGATAGAGATAAGACATACATGTTAATTGTTGCACGTTTGTTAGGATAGCTAAATCTGAAAATCTCACGCATCTTCTTAGTATATAAGCACCAGCAATTAAAGTAATAAACAGACCTTAACCATCTACAGTCTCATTATTTACCTTGCCACGAAGTCTGGCAAATTGGTGACCCGACGAAGAACAATCAACATGACTCATTCACCCTGCAAATCAAGCAGCAGCCAACAAGAAGCCTTGGAGATATCAGCCGGAACCGGAATTTTGGAGGGACCAACCCAGATTATGGTTTAAGCAACTAGAAGCCATAGTAGCACCACAGAAGCAAGGAGACGATTACAAGTACTATACGGTCATTGCAAAACTGCCAAAAGAAGAAATAATACAGGTTAGTGACCTCATTACTTGCCCACCGCCAATAGAAAAGTACAAGGCTATCAAAGAACGCCTAATCAGTTGCTATGAGGAATCAGACCAACGTCAGCTCCAAAAATTATTGTCTGAAATGGATCTCGGCGACCAGAAACCATCACATCTTCTGCGCAAGATGCGGACCCTGAGTAACGGAAATATCAGCGACGAAACCATCAAACTTCTATGGTTGAGGCTTCTGCCACCATCAGTGACTTCGGTTCTAGCAGTCACAGAAGACATAGATGTGAACAAGATGAGCCAGATCGCGGACAAGATATTAATAAATTCAACACGTACAGAGGTGTCAGCTGTAAACGGAAACAAATCTGGCGACGATACAATGTCATGCATACTAGCACAGTTAGCAGAAATGCAATTGGAACTAAATGCAATTCAGCAAGGTCAAAAAAACTATCGACGCAGCACTCAAAGTTATTCCAATCGTCGGCATTTCCTACCACAGTCAAGTTCAAGAGAAAGAAGGCACTTTTGTTTTTACCATGGAAGATTTAAAAAATATGCACAAAAGTGTGTTCAACCTTGTGATTGGAAACAGGATCTCAACTCAAGGAAACAGGGAAACTAATTGAAGCACGGACAACGGCGGAACTCTGTGCTATTCACCCGTCCAACCGCCTCACTATTACCGACCGAAAAAGTGGTATGAGATTTTTGATTGACACGGGAGCAAATATTTCAGTTATTAGCAAGCCACAGAGACAGTCACTAATACAAGATGAACAATGTATACTTTATGCCGCCAATGGTACAAAAATTAAGACATATGGTGAAAAAACACTCTCTTTAAACTTCGGGCTACGAAGAAACCTTGTATGGAACTTTGTCATCGCCGATGTAACACAACCGATTATTGGAGCAGATTTTTTAGAGCATTATAAGCTATTAGTCGATATAGCTGGTCGAAAACTCATAGATAGGGTAACTGAGCTGACAACGCCCGCAACCCTGATCAAATCGACGCAGCAAACAATCCGCACTATTAACATTGAGACGAATCCACGCAATACTCAACAAAAATACTCGACATTCGACAGAGAGTTGCTCGGAATATATATGGCAGTCAAACATTTTCAAAGGTTAGTCGAAGGAAGAGAATTTACTATCTTTACAGATCATCGACCTTTGACTTACGCATTTTCCCAAAAACCGTCATCTAATGATACGCCACGGCGAATACGACAACTGGATTTTATTTCACAATATTGTACCAACATTCAACATATAGAAGGACGTGACAATATTGTAGCAGACGCATTGTCACGGATAGAACAAATTGATGTGCCATCACCGATTAATTATGCTGATTTAGCAAGATGTCAGCATGATGACCAAGAATTATTACGACTTCGTAATAACAAGAATTTAAAATTTTCAATCAGCAGAAACAATCAGCACAAATGCAGTGGATAGTTCATCGACTGCCGCCGCCGTCACAACAAAGGCAGCAGTTTTTATTTCCTTCGAATTAGCAACAATGACATTACATTACGCATAGGATGTAATTTATCAGCAAGGTTAAGTTATTATATAATTAGGTACATACTAATTTTTTTCAATTTATATGTTAATTATTTTTAAAAGGGGGGAGTATATGTAGCGGCACTATCACGTCGCTACATTACTTAGATACGATAGAGATAAGACATACATGTTAATTGTTGCACGTTTGTTAGGATAGCTAAATCTGAAAATCTCACGCATCTTCTTAGTATATAAGCACCAGCAATTAAAGTAATAAACAGACCTTAACCATCTACAGTCTCATTATTTACCTTGCCACGAAGTCTGGCAAAGACATCAACATTCAATGAATTACGTCAGAAATCCTACATCGGCGTATAGTTTGTGCGCGTTTAAACACGACTACACTATCCAGAAAAGTTCAAAACAAGATTCTTCAAATTGAACTATAAAATTATAATGGCTACTTACTTTCTCATATTTTTACCGTTATAAACAAAATTTGGTGCCTCATTTATTCAAACCATCCAAACTAATATTATAAATGCGAAAGTAACTCTATCTGTCGGTCTGTCTTTTCTTCACGCCTATACTACTAAACGAACATCGGTTCAGTAGTTTAGGTTTCTGTGAAATTTGGTACAAATAGGTATAGTTTAAAAGTCGAGAAAGGACATAGGATAGTTTTTATACTAAAAATCTGCAGAAAGGAAAATATTTGTAGTAAGTAGTGACATCTTTGCACGCAGTAATACACGAGCGACACGCACACATGCAACATATTCTGTTGTTATTGTATGGTGACGCTCCATACAGGTTGTATAGTTATACCTATACCTACTATACGCTACTAGGTATAGATAGGTACTACTGAAAGCTCGAGGCGATCAAATATTAGCATTACAACACAACATTACTTCAAGATAGAGATGTTTACTAAGTCTATGGTTAGCACGACGCCCAGCGCCGTGGAGTCTGCAGTACCGGACGCCCTCGAGCCTAGTACGAGCTCCGGATGGTTGCCGAGCTAAGCTGAGGCTGTGAAATGTGTGTCAGAGGCGCGCGCAGGCCTGGGCGGGGGGCGGCGCGCCCGCCATGCGCGGCGCTATCGAGCGGCCGCGGGCTGCGGGTCAGTCGAGCGCGCTCCGCCGCGCCATGGAGCCGCCGCAGGAAGGTCCGCCCGTCGCCGCGCCGGCCGTGCGCCCGCTCGTCAACCCCGACGAGTATGGCGAGGTCGACACTTCCAGGTGCGTGTCCCCCAGCCTCCACGCTGCTCGGCTGCTCGCCATTGCCACGATCCACTCGCAACCACTTCCGCCACTTATCCAATGTTACGAGATGACAGTGTCGAAGGTCCTACCAGGGCGGATAACGCAGCGGTTATCGATATAGGCAGTAGTAGCGTGAGGACTCGAGTAAGACTCCCCGACGCACGGCCCGCACTGAGATGCAGAGCGGGGCGGGGCGCATCCGGCGAGCGCCACATCCGTTTTCGTCGCCACCCTCGGCTCGACATAATACATACGGAGTCCCTTAATTTGTTGCCATCTTATTCGCATTTTAATATAGTTTATAGAACATAAGGCACTAAATCACTATAAAATCAAGAGTAACTAGTTCCGTGGAAAGTAGACATTGACATCGATAGTATTCATTAATTAGCCGCCAACGCAGCGCAGCAGCCGCAGGATGTGTCCCCGCCCTGCCCAACTGTACCGCTCCATAAAAAAGATCTGGAAGCTGGAGCAGTGAAACTGCAAGATAGTGCGCACAGTCGTAGATGCACGCAGATCTACAACTTATATATCGACTTTTAACTGTTTTACGTATCAGATCTTTCAGCTACTAAATAAAAAAATATATTCAGGCGGGTCGCGAATAGCACCGGACACAGATGACGCGCGATCTGCACTCGAGTACAATGGATGCACGTTGTAACTGCAAATACTGTAGTCCTCAATGACTGACACAAAACAAGTTCGATATAAATGCACAAAAAATCAAGTAAAACTCAACAGTTAGACCCCGTATGAGCAGGAAATAATTAACTGTACAATATGAATGGCTCCAGGCAAACGGCACTTAATTTTACTCACACTCTCACACCGCATTTAATTTTAATTTGTTTTTGCACCAAGGCCGAGACGAAGTTGTCAGATACGGTAGAAAACTATCAACATTTCTCTAAATGGACGTTACGCAAACAACGTTTTGTACTCCTCCACTGTAACAAACATATTTTGACTCGTAATCTGTACGATGCGGGGCGGCAGCACGCAGTTATATGTCGTGGGTAGTTTACAGCTGTGACGTAATTAAACATTTTAGGCCATACCCAAATACATATAGTCTTCCTACAGACGGGTATCAACAGAAACGATGAACATGCCATGTTTTATCACAAACGTACGGTATATTTAAAGTATATTAAGACCTTTATGATGCATAAGTACTAGTAATGTGTAACCCCCCTCCCCCAGGTACCCGGCGCCGAAGGATGCCACCAACAAGGTGCGCGGCCGCAGCGACCTGCTGGAGCTGATGTGCGGTGCGGGCGCCGTGGACCCCGAGCTGCTCACCGTCAAGACTTTCTACTTCTTCTTCTACTCGGCGTTCGGCTCGCTGTTCCCGCTGATGGGCGTGTACTTCAAGCAGATGGGCATGAACGCTGGCCAGTGCGGCTTGCTCATCGGTACGCGGCCCTTCGTCGAGTTCTTGTCGGCGCCGTTCTGGGGCGGCCTGGCCGACCGCTGGCAGAAGGGGCGCACGCTGCTGCTGGCGTCGCTCGGCGCCTGGATCGTGTTCACGCTGCCGCTGAGCTGGGTGCAGCCGGGGGCCGTGTCGTGCGTGCACCCGCTCAACGCGACGGCCTACAACCTGACGGAGCCGCGCTACGACGAGGACTGGCCCAGCAGCACCACGCGCGCCTTCCGCGGCCCGCCCGGCGCCGGCCGCGAGGGCTCGCCGCTGCCCGTCAGCGACGCGCTCAACTACGACGCCAAGGCCAACAGCGACTGGGTGACTCCGCTGCACTCCTTCATCGTCTACCGCACGCCCGACATCCAGAAGACGTTCTTCCTGCTCCTGCTGCTCGTCGTCATCGGGGAATTCTTCAGTGCGCCCGCCATCACGCTCGCCGACTCCGCCGTCATCACGCTGCTCGGTGAAGACGCTGACAGGTACCCGGACCCTACTACGGCCATCGCCGATTTTTTTTTAAATATATTTTTAATTAGAACCTTCATTTTTTAAGTGATGGGTCGGCAAACGATCCCACTGATTACCTGGTGGTAAATAATTGACGATTCCTGCAACAATAGAAAAGTTACGAGTGCGTTTTGGGGACCCGACCTTTTGGGGATTAGGGTTTCGGGAGGGGAGGATTGAGTCTCCGGTAAAGTTACACGGCGAAACACAACGGCGTGCTTGTTTATCACTCGATCGAGCCGAGCCATTCGTGCTGAAGCTTGGCTCTCCCACACTTAAATCTTCTCACTTCCCCTATATCAACAAACACAACAAAAAGAGATTTAGCAAAATTGGTCCTGGCTGAGTTGAGTTATGCGCTTACCAAAACAATTCACGATTCAATTTTATATTACATTAATAATTATTAATGCCATTCCTTATATCGATATACTCAAACAGTTCCCAAGTAGCATTTTGTTCCATTTAAGAGTACACATTTAGTTCCAAAGTGAACTTAAAGCATTACTACAGTTCACTCGTGATGTATTAGCTGCATTATTGCAATTAATTACACCTATACCTGTCTAAGGGACTTATAGGAGTGTAGAGTAATACTTTTATACGATTATGGGTGTTATAATACTCTAACAACTATCCTTTAGTCAGCTTTCTGACTAAGAGCATTATAGGAGAGTAGAGATATGGCAACCGCTGTTTAACGGCCTACTTGTTCGATATTATAGAGCTAGCATTTTAATAGAACACTTGTGGTCATTTATAAAGCCAAAGGCTGTTATGTTTACTTGTTTTAGACTGTTATACAGCCAGTAGCTGCATTAGGACTTGTTTGTGATACTTAAAATAACCTTTTTTTACTATCTGTACAGAAGTATTTAAATGATTCACATGTGGACTATAGGCTGTTAGAAGGAGTATATGTGTTGTCCATTAACATCAATAGCAGTTTATTTGTCCACAAGTACTACTCTTATTTGCTGTAAGCTGAACATGAATGTGAATGTGATATTCTATTACACTTTTTCCCAAGCGCCATTGCAAAGTATGTTTTGACGTCACATGCAATAAAATTTGTGAAAATGTATAAAAAATCTTGGAAAATAAGAGCGAGAACCGGTGGTATAAGAAGAAAAATTGCAAAAGAATATTTAAAAATAAACAGTCGGTTCGATCGAGCCCGTCGATAAGGCTTCAACAAGTGCGACTTCAACCGTTGTTGGTGGTTCCGTACATGATGCAGAAGAAAATATTATGCCTGAACCTGAAAGTTCCCTTCAAAATATACAGATATCAGATTATAGTGATAGCAGTTCTAGTGATAGTGAATACAATTTTGATTTGGATAATTATTTAACCTTTCGCAAAAAAATAAGAACATGAGCTATTGAAAATCGTATTCCTCATTCTGCTTTGAATAAATTGTCAGATATAATAAACGAATTTAAACCAGGAACACTACCGTCTGATGCTAGAACATTATTATGCACTCCCGTTGATGTCATTTTAAAAAATGTAGGAGGAGGTCAATACTGGCACAATGGGATAGCAAAACCTTAGAGAGCATTTTGCTAAATTGGATGGATATTCCAGATATGATTTCAATTAACACAAATGTGGATGGTTTGCCTATTTTTAAAAGTTCCACAAATGAATTTTGGCCTATATTAGGTAACATTTTTGAAAGTCCCAGGATTCGGCCTTTTATTATTGGAGGTTGTTAAAATTTGTACTTTAGGTATTCATACTTGACTATTAGTAACTGGGCATTTAACGGACATTAATATTTTTTATTGCGGATCTCTAAAATTTTAGTATTTGAAGAAAGAATTAAAGATACACAATTGTCCTGAACTACATCTTAAAGCTGTACATAAGTTCACATTAGAATAAATTAATTGACATTGGCGCTGTAGTGGTACAAATGTGGGACTTCATATAGATAACAGCATTCTAACAGAACACAAGTGAACCTAATATACGCTCACCGCATTAAATAGGAGTTATAATAGTTCACATAGCCGTATTTCATTTCCACCATTTTGTTCTACGTAACCTAAAATATTTACCACATAAATCTACAAGATTAATGCAGATTTATCACAAAATACGCAGATAGAGCGAATGAGTTTTGGTTGCATGTTAAAATTAATTACCGTAGTATAATTATAATGCCAATAAAATATCAAAAACTGAAAATGAAAATTTTCCTCTCAGCCAGTTTTATATATTTCAAAATGAATAAAGCGTTTTTACAGAGGCGCGTGAAAATTTTAGTTGTCAATATGCATACATTTCACGATAAAGTTGCATTCCCATGGCATTAACGTGATATAGTATATAAAACAGGTACTTTGACCGCGTGTTATATTATAATAATAATCCGCCGGAGTTAGTTTGCCCCGAATCCGTGCACTCCTTATAATTGTCAAACTAATAAGTATATTGTGGAAATAATTTAGGACACAAGTGAATTTAAGGTAGCTTACTGGAGTACTTTTGTCCGATTTTACCTGTGAAGGCTGTGTATTTAGCCACTTATTACTCTTTATTACACTCATGGACGTTGTATGGTTCACACTGCGTTCCATATAGTGCCGTAAGTCAGCCTTAAGTCCGATGTTACTACTTAAACTGCTATTATAATGCTATTATACTTCTCATGTACAGCCATAGTGAACTTAAGGCTGTCTAATTTGTGCCCAAACTGGTTCAATAAAAGCATTATAGCAAGCTATACAGCTCATATACAGCTGACATACACAGCTTCTAGAGTACATGTGAACGACTAGACATCTTATATAGAACCCCGAATGCTACTTGGGTTATTACTACTGCTAACTATACTGACTGCACCACCTCGAAACCTTATTCGCCAAAACTAAAATATAGGAATAAAACTGACAGGTACGGGCACCAGCGCATGTTCGGCTCGCTGGGCTGGGGCCTGGCCATGTTCTTCGTGGGCATCGCACTGGACCACAGCACGGCCTTCAGCTCGCACCCGTGCGGCGGCCCGCAGCGCTTCGAGAAGAACTACACCATCTGCTTCGCTACGTTCTCGGTGCTGATGGGGGCCGCGCTCATCACCGCCACGCAGGTGGGGGTCGCGCAGCGCTCAGCCGGACCCTGCCCCCGCGGGGCGGCGTGACTACGAGTGGCCGCTTGTTGCAGATACGGTTCAAGTACGAGTTCGTAAGCGTGGAGGCCGCGGCGCCGCCCGCGCCCGCCGAGCCCACGCACGAGGAGAAGCTGCAGCAACAGCTGGCCGAGCAGCTGCAGCTGCCGGGGCTGGACACCAGCGCGCCGGCGCCGCGCCAGCCCGTGCTCGAGCAGGCCAAGGTACGAGGACCGCGCTGGCCGGGGCTGGCCGCCGGCAGACCGACGGAGCCCCGCTGACTCGCTCCTGTCCGCAGGTGTTCGCGCAGACGACGCGCGAGATGCCGGAGTGGGTGACGGTGCTGCGCCAGTTCCAGAACGTGAAGGCGGCCTCGTTCCTGTTCGTGGCCTGGTTCATGGGCTTCGGTATCGGCCTCATCTTCACTTTCCTCTTCTGGCACTTGCAGGTCTGTACCACCACTTTACAAAATTATTATAATATAATGAATTATCCGTATGACACAAATTGTCTCCGAAGAAACTGCTGTACAAGTAGTTACCTGTAAGTAGAGGGCGCTAGTGAATCAGTTTCTGCGTGTACTGTTGTAGGACATCGGCGGTTCCCCGACACTGTTTGGCGTGGCGTCCGTCATCAACCACATCTCCGAGATATTCGCTTACTTCTTCAGCTTCAAGCTGATCACGCAGATGGGACACGTGAAGGTACGCACTCCTCGCCTCGAGAGTACTTCTACCCGGCATCCACCAATTTACTTAATGAACTTTCTTATCGCGTCACGCTCTCGTTGCCAAATAATTGTTAGAAATCCAATACGTAGTAGGCTGGATAGGACAAATGTTAGTAGCAGCATAATGTGAAGAGACCCGTACCGCGCGGCAGGTGCTGTGCCTGGGGCTGGCGGGCAACGTGCTGCGCTTCCTGTACATCGCGTGGCTGAGCGACCCCTGGTGGGTGCTGCCCTTCGAGTTCGTGCAGGGCGTGACCCACGCCGCCGTGTGGGCCGCGTGCTGCTCGTACATCGCGCACGGCGCGCCGCCACGCCTGCGCTCGTCCGCGCAGGGCGTGCTGCAGGGCCTGCACCACGGCCTGGGCCGCGGCTGCGGCGCCGTGCTGGGCGGCGTGGCCGTGGCCAAGTGGGGCACCACGCGCACCTTCGCGGGCTACGGCCTGCTGTGCACCGTGGTGCTGGCCGCCTTCGCCTTCGTCAACTTCCGCGGCGAGCCGGACGCGGCGGCCGGCGCGCCCGACGACGAGGCGCGCGCCGTGGCCGAGGCGGGCGTGCTGGCCCCGCACGGCGTGCCCTCCAACCCGCTGCCGCGCGCGCTGTCCTCCACGCGCCTGGCCGACCTGGCGCACCACGACCAGTACGGCGCCACGCAGGTAGGCCCGGCCCGCGCCCCCGGCTGCGCCGCGGCATGACTGGGAGCTGACGCCGACTTGCTAAATACTTGCAGAGCTACAGCGGGGCGGAGTCGCTGAGCGTGCCGGGGCAGGCGGCGGCGCCTCGGCCCTCGAACCCGTTCCTGGCGGAGCAGGCGGCGGCGCCGGCCTACAGATAAGCGCCGCGCCCGCCATGTCCTACGTACAAAGCGTCGAGGAGTCCGCATCTTGATGTCGCAGCTTCTTGTGCTCAGCGCTCCCTCGCGTGCTCAGGCGGGGCATCCGCTGCTCTACTGGTATATGTATATTATTGTATAAGGCGGAACGCGATGTCATATCATGGTGTGATGTAGTCGAGGGCAGAGGTAACTCACTCGTGAAGTATTATTTTGTTGATAATGTAACAGATAGATATTCTTATTACGAAGCTATATGTATACAATCGAATTTGTTGTGAGGATGTGCTCCTGCACCGGTTATATATTTTTGCACAGTCTGTAGCGGGGAGTGCCAACACTTTCCATTTCATGTGTATAATGAATAAATAAATGTTGAACTATTCACAATTGTGCATTATTCCTCCAGTTACATCTCCCTCCTTCCCTCCCTGAGCCCTGCTAACTCTATAGGAGTTTCAAGATGTCATACATGTAAAGGCAAGCTGTTCACCTAAACAACGTCTACGAGTAAGTCGGTGTTGTTAACACAGGCGAACAGGTAATAACGTGATCATCATTATCATCCCCGGGCCTACACTGACTAGGGGATACACCAGAATAAGTTCATATTCCGTTTGTTACATCCTGTGTGGTCAGTAGCGGTGTACCTGATGATCGTGATTCAATGGCGTATTCACGTTCGCAGCATAAACTTCGTCACATTACGTCGGTGTGGACATCGCGCCAGCATAGTAGCTGATGTTGTTCCAATGTACAGACAGATAAAGTATTTCATCAACACAAACAAAATTATACGACGTGAACTGCCGAATAATGAACTTCCAAGTTTTGTCATGTCACATCATCAGCGCCTTATCGAGCTGCAGCACTTTTAAATGTGGGAAAGCCATGCTTCAGACGTGTGGGTCGGCTCGCCCGGAGCCACGGCCTCACAGGGAACTTCACCGTGTGAGTCAGCATTTTTTGAAATATGCAGCAACATCTCTTACCCGTAGCTCGTAGCGCATAGCTCGTAAACTGTAGCTGTGTTTGCCCGCTATTATCTATACTTATAATAAATCTGTAGATAGGTCAATTCTGTACATCAAATATATTTTCAAAATAACTACCAAGGAGTATAAAGAATAATTGTACCAAGTTTTGTTAAAATCCGTCGAGTAGTTTTTGTTTCTATAAGGAACATACAGACAGACAGGCAGACAGACAGACCGACAGACCGAAAGACATTTTACAAATTACATTTTTGCATCAGTATCGATCACTTATTAATCACCCCCTTTTTTTTGTTTGTAAGGTTTATAAATATGGTATCAGAGGAACAGCATACAACTGGTTGGATTCATATTTATCTGATAGGAAACAGTTAGTGGAATTAAACAGATATAACGAGAAAACTAAAACCATAGAGTCATATCAATCTTCACTCATGTTGAATACGTACGGCGTGCCTCAAGGCAGTATTTTGGGCCCGCTGCTGTTCTTGCTCTACATAAACGACTTCCCTAGTGTTACTAATCACAAATCCGTCCTTTTCGCAGATGATATCACGATTATCATTGAGGGCAATAACAAAAATTCATATGAGAACGAAATAAACACTGCCCTTAATAATTCAATACAGTGGCTAGAATTAAATAATTTAAAGGTTAACATAAGTAAAACAAGATTAATGCAATTTCACACATGTAGAACAAAACCTATGAATTTAAATATATCTTATAGAGGCAGAACATTGTCAAAAACGGAGTCTATCAAATTTCTAGGAATAACTTTAGACAAGTTCTGTTCTTGGAAAGATCATGTCCATTATATCTGTGGTAAATTAAACAGTTTTGTGTACCCTCTAAGACGAATAAGCTGTGAAGTATCTAAGAGCGCAGCAATAACAGCATACCATGGTTATATATCATCGATACTTCGATATGGTATCACTATGTGGGGCCGCTGTGTAGATATTGACCAGGCATTTGTAATGCAAAAAAAATGCTTAAGGGCCATATTTGGTCTTAAACAAACTGATTCGTGTCGTCCGTACTTTAAGAAATATAAGATATTAACATTGCCCTGTCTATACGTGCTGGAGTCTTGTACATTTGTCTTCAAACATAAAGCACTTTTCCAATCAGTAATTAGCTACTATACGCCTAGATCTATGAACGCTAACAAGTTGTATAGACCCAGAACAAACCTAACATTTACATCTAATAACTGTTATATTATGTGCATCAAGTTATATAATAAGATCCCCAATCCCATCAAAACTCTTCCGTTTCCTAAATTTAAGCGTTCCTTAATAAACCATTTGACAGAAAGATGTTATTATAGTGTTAATGAATTCCTAGATTATAAGTTGTAAGTTCTCAATGTCATTGTTTTCGGTAGGTAGAATTATTTTGTTAAATTTAATAGCTTTAAGAAATTTGCACGCCGCAATAAACGGCAGAATAAGAGATTCTATTATTTGTAAAGACCTTTTTATATGTACCTTGTTCAAGCAAATAAACGATTTATTATTATTATGTATGTCTCTACCAATCACGGGACCACAGGGTCCCGGTCATTTGGAAGGCGTACGAGGGGCCGGAGCCAACTGCGCAGAGGCCCTTAAGACAACTTTAATCTAAATGAAATGGGACACAAACCGGCGACTATCCCTGTATGCACTATGGAAATGCACCCAAGGACAGTCCCCGGTTAGTGTAGGACTATTGCGGATAATGGAAACAAAATACAAGGCTATGGGTGTGGGTTGCTATGGGCTAGTAGGATGGGAACTATAGAAGGACTATGGCACCTGCCGAAACAATGTAATTTATACACGTAAAAATGGCAGGCGGAGACTCGCCAACTCACCGACCGGGCCCCCGGGAATGGTTGCTAGTAATAGCAACAGAGGGACAACGGAAATGTGAGTGGCTGAAGGGTGAAGAAACTGCCACCAGCTTTCTACTCAGATCATCTGCATCTGCCTAAGCATCCTGCATCACTGGCCCACTCGCCGCTTACGAACAGCTTCCACCCTCCGAGCAGGATCACTACTCTCGCGACTCCACTCTGGACGGCCAATGAAGGCAAGCCAGAGGTGGGAGACCTGTTCCTCGTCATCGTCCACTCCGGCCAGCCAATGAAGGCAAGCCGGAGATGAGGAACGGTGACTTCTCCCTGGAGCAATCGGGATGATGGTAGCCCGCGGGATCGCTAATTCCCGTCACCTCGCCTCAAGGTGCCCTGCGGGCTTATTATTATTATTATTATGTTTGTTCTTTCCTTTCACGGGACCACAGGGTCCCGGACCTTTGGAAGGCATACGAGGAGCCGAAGCCAACTCGCAGAGGCCCGTTGAACAATTTTAATCTAAATGTGATGGGACATCAGCCGGCAATTATCCCTGTATGCACTATAAAAGTGCACCCAAGGACAATCCCCGGTTGATGCAGGACTATTGTAAAATGTGGTAACAATTGATAGGGTTATGGGTATGGGTTGCTATGGACTAGTGGATGAAAACTATGGAAATACTATGGCCCCTGCCCCTGACCAATATTGATACATACGGATAAACAAGCAGGGGGTGACTGGCAAACTCAATTAATGGGCCCCCGGAAACGGCCGCTAGCATGTAGCGACACGGGGGCAACATACGTTGAGCTGCTTGGGGAAGGAGAGGCATCCCACGGCTATCAGAGCAATCCCGGAAGTACGGTCAAGACCCCTACCAGCATCTTACTGAGATACATCCTTCCCCCGAGTCTCCTTCAACTCCTACTCTTGCGAATCTCCACTCAAGCCAGCCAATTAAGGCAAGAATGAGGTAGGAGGGCTTGTTCTTCATCAGTGTTCACTCCAGCTTGTCACGAGGACTAACTGGAGAGAGAAGAACAAGACACCTCCCGGGAGTCAGGTCCGTGGGGTCGCCACTGCCCAACAGCTCGCCACAAGCTGCCTTGCGGATTTATTATTATTATTTGTATGTCTTTACCAATCACGGGACCACAGGGTCCCGGTCATTTGGAAGGCGTACGAGGGGCCGGAGCCAACTGCGCAGAGGCCCTTTAGACAACTTTAATCTAAATGAAATGGGACACAAACCGGCGACTATCCCTGTATGCACTATGGAAATGCACCCAAGGACAGTCTCCGGTTAGTGTAGGACTATTGCGGATAATGGAAACAAGGGATAAGACTATGGGTGTGGATTGTTATGGACTGGTATGATTGGAACTATGGAAGGACTATGGCACCTGCCGAAACAATGTAATAAATACACGTAAAAATGGCAGGTGGAGACTCGCCAACTCACCGACCGGGCCCCCGGGAATGGTTGCTAGTAATAGCAACAGAGGGACAACGGAAATGTGAGTGGCTGAAGGGTGAAGAAACTGCCACCAGCTTTCTACTCAGATCATCTGCATCTGCCTAAGCATCCTGCATCACTGGCCCACTCGCCGCTTACGAACAGCTTCCACCCTCCGAGCAGGATCACTACTCTCGCGACTCCACTCTGGACGGCCAATGAAGGCAAGCCAGAGGTGGGAGACCTGTTCCTCGTCATCGTCCACTCCGGCCAGCCAATGAAGGCAAGCCGGAGATGAGGAACGGTGACTTCTCCCTGGAGCAATCGGGATGATGGTAGCCCGCGGGATCGCTAATTCCCGTCACCTCGCCTCAAGGTGCCCTGCGGGCTTATTATTATTATTATTATGAAAACCATCCAATGACTTCTCCGGCCCGGGCCGGGCGGGAGGGAGTGTCAGACTCTTACTGACTAAAAACCCCCCCGTTCCTTCTCCTGCTCTGGGCCGAGATCGCGGTACCTCATTGCGCTTACCCCGCAACTAGTATCAGGTGGCCGGAGATCATCTCTCGATCCCCGACGCCCGGAATGTCGCCTTCTGCGGCGGCTGGGGCGCGAGGAGGATAGTTCCCTCACGCGCTCCGCCTCCTCCTTTGCGAGCATAACTGCTTCGCAGAAGGAGGCGATAGCTTCCCAGTTCCTCTCGCTATGAATTAATCACCCCCTGATGGTTATTTTGAAAATATATTTCATGTCCAGAATTGACCTCTCTACAGATTTATTATAAGTACACATATAGATATTGCGCGTGTCTGTTTTAGCTAAGTGAGGCATTTTCCATTGAGTGTGACAGAGGACATAATAACAATAAAAGAAACGGTTGACGCGAACACATGTCTTTCTTTCATTGCACTCGACACTACACGGGCTCGCTGTTGTCGTAACACACACTACAACCACTCCTGTAGTACTTTCGATGACATTTACGCTTGCTTAAACGACCAACGATAAAAATACTAAATGCATGAGATTTATTTTACCAAATGTTAAAAGTAACGTATGTGATGATATAGTATTAAATGATCAGAAACTAGAATTTGTAGATGTTTGTCTGGCCTTATCTCAGACCATGTTACATCTCCTTCTTCTACAAAATAGTCTTGTTAGCTTAGACGGTATCGGTGCAACGATCCTGCTCGCGAGCGCACCGTGCGTCTGACTGAAAATCCACTTACGGACTTATAGTATAGTATATATAGTATCGGTCTACGCGCTACTTGCTACGTGTTGCTAGTATCGGTCTACGCGCTACGAGCTACGTGTTGCTAGTATCGGTCTACGCGCTACTAGCTACGTGTTGCTAGTATCGGTCTACGCGCTACGAGCTACGTGTTGCTAGTATCGGTCTACGCGCTACTAGCTACGTGTTGCTAGTATCGGTCTACGCGCTACTAGCTACGTGTTGCTAGTATCGGTCTACGCGCTACGAGCTACGTGTTGCTAGTATCGGTCTACGCGCTACTAGCTACGTGTTGCTAGTATCGGTCTACGCGCTACGAGCTACGTGTTGCTAGTATCGGTCTACGCGCTACGAGCTACGTGTTGCTAGTATCAGTCTACGCGTTGCGGGTATTTATTGAATGGATTTCACAAAACTTACAACTCATGTTCTAATACTTACAACTTCTTTGAACTTTTGATTCAGAGGACCCGTCCACTCGTTTGCCTACTTTTAAATTTAGGGCTATAGATTAAGGACTGGCTCAACCCAGAGTTACAAGCTTGGCTACACAAATTACGGTGAACAGCACGTCGATTCTATAAAATTTATTTGATTTTGAATCGTGTTCCAGTGCGAAGTAGCGTCGAAATGACGGGTAAATTAAATTTTAGAATGCCACTTTTATCGTCATTTCATACTTTATCTATCAAAATATTGCTGTCAATTTAGTTCAACTCGCAAGTGTAGCGCTTGTGTAGGTACTACTACTCACAGCGGATTCAGATTCGAAGTTTAGAATAAAGTCTTACAGAATCACACTGCAGGGTATTTTAAATACAGCAATACCTCGGCGGGCCATGTTATTAATATCATAAACAACAACATTTACGTCGTTCTACAACTTTTCAAAATTTTTCATTTTTTAATGTGACGTAGTAAACAAATATAACCTTTGCGAATTATCGAAGACGTGTGTGACGCGAAAGAATCTCTTGCTTACCTAACTTTTCATAATTGTTGAGAGTCAGTGTACAGGTTTTGTTTTTTTTTTCACACACGATAAAAGCCTTCCCGTGCCTCCTTCGTTCCAGGGCTGCGCTACACCAGTCAGGTTCAAATCTAAGATGCCTCACAAAATGGGTTGCAAATAGGTAAAAATAAAAGGATTATATAATGTAAAAATAAATGTTAAATTATATTTAAATTACATAAAAATAATTCGATCTAAATACAAGCATAACACTAACTCAAGCACATTACTTCGAGTTCACGTTTACTCCACAAATGCGGTGCTGCGAGACGAGAGCACCGGCCCCGCAGCTCGGGGGCCGGAGCGCTGGGCGCGGGGCGCGGCGTGCGGGGCGCTAGGCGCGGGGCGCGGGGCGCTGGTCACGGGGAGCTGGGCGCGGGGAGCGGGGCGCGGGGCGCGGTGAGGCGCGCTGCTACTCCAGCACGACGATGCGGCCGTTGCGGTAGGCGGTGCGCGGCATCTTCTGGTAGCCGTAGCCGGACGCACTGCGGAGGGACGTCACAAACACTCAACAGGGGGCGATTGGAGCTTTCTTCGCAGGTTTCTCTCTATAATAAATCTTGAGTACGAAGGTAACACAAGAGGCGGCGACGTGGCCCGCCCGCCGGCCACGCCAGCGAGCCCACCCGCTGCAAACACACAAGCACCGGTGCTACAGCCGAGCGGCGCGCTGCTTACATGCTAGCCTGTGGCTGCTCACACTACCTGCTGTAGGAGGGCGGGCGCGGCTGCAGCGGCTGCGCGGCGTCGGGCGCGGAGGGCGCGGGGGCGCGGGGGGCCCGCGCCGCCAGCAGCGCGGCCGCGGCGCCCAGCAGCTGCAGCAGCGGCAGCAGCGCGCCCAGCACTAGCGCCACGTACGCGTTGCGCGGCGCGTCCTCGCTCGCCTCCTGCGGAGACCACACCGTTACCTATACCGCAGCGACATCCGACTCTACGCAATAGTCCCCGCGTCAACCTGTATGAGCTCGTCGACGCGGTGCGGCAGCGGATGCCAGCGCGCCATGTAGTCCAGCAGTGGGCGCAGGTGGTCGCTGAGCTCGAGCGCCTCGGCCAGCTGGCGCGCCGCCTCCGACTGCTGCCACGCCACCACCTGCATGGCCAGCCAGCCGCAGAAGGCCACCTCGCCCAGCACCAGCATCGTCATCAGCGCCGCGTACTGCACACACCACACGCCAGCTAGTACTACACAACACCATGTATGTGTGTGTAATAACTAACTTATATTACAGACTAAACACCTTGGAGCAGGTTTTCCCAAGGAACATAATTAGAATATACACGTTGTCACTGACGTTTGGGACAAAAATAAATAGATATGTTTTGCACACTGAGAAACCAAAGTAACTGTAGGTATATAAATGTTGAAAAACAGAACATGGAGCATCTCGACACTGCAGGCTAACCTAGCAGCATACCATTCGCTAGGGTTTAAATAACCGGGGAACTAGACCACACCCCGCTGCGCTGCGTCAGCCACAGCTCGGTTCGTGCCTCACTGCGTCACATTTTCACAATTTTGTTTGTTGCGACACTCGATGTGTCACTTTGCAGAGACTGTCCCAAACCTTTGTCGGTAACGTCAGTTAGCTGCTCCCTCACTTATAACAAGTAAATTGCACACGAGCTGTTCTCTAGAGTTCTCTCTCGAGTTTCTTCATATCATTCAATCATGCTGCGAGCTGTAGATAACTAAATGTTTCTAACAAATAATAATAATAACATACATAACAACAATATTTTGTAGTGTGTTTGTATGAGTGAGAGAGATATACATACTGATTGCACGACAGGAGCATCGAACCGCTCAATGCAAGGTAGTCTCTCTAATCTCTCCTTCGCCTACCTTTGTATGAGGCCTACTCGTGAGAAACAAGCGCGAGTGAGACTGCAGGGCATCAGCAGTCAAGTGCAAGGAGACAGTACAGTACACAGCAGGCGGCACCGACCACATAGAGCAGCAGGGCGCGGCGGGGGCGCGGCAGGTGGGCCGCCGCCGCCGCCAGGTGCGCCAGCGCCAGCAGCGTGGCGCCGCCCGCCGTCAGCACGACGCACGCCACGCGGTACTCCGCCGGGAACAGCTCGCGCAGCGCCAGGTACGTGCTGGGGTCCCACTTCAGGCGCGCCGCCGTGGCCAGCGCCGCTCCGCCGTACAGCTGGACAGAAAGAGGGCCGTGAGCTCGGCGGGCCCCGCGGGAGGGGAGGGTCGCGGCGCGGCACTCACAGTGAGCAGCAGGTTGACGTGCGGCAGCAGCACGGGCGCCGCGCGCCGGCACATGGCTGCTCGGAGTCGCGGGGCCCGGGGAGTGCGCGGGGCCTGCCGAGTGCGCGGGGCCCGGGGAGTGCGCGGGGCCTGCCGAGTGCGCGGGGCCCGGGGAGTGCGCGGGCCTGCCGATACCGCAGCTTATCTTATCACTGATATCTCCGCGGGCCGCCCGACGCGCCGCTCGACACTTGTTGTTCTATTTTCCTGATACTCTCATATATATAAGCATTAATCATCGCACTATGCATCATCGCCCCGATCAGATAGCGCGGCGTTTCCAATAATGGATGACTGCTTCGTGTTTAATCTATTTTACCTGTAATCTCTGGTGCTCACATCTACTTATAGCCAAACAACTTAACGTAAACAAACAAAGCAATTTTTCTGAAAGTGGTCCGCGGCGGCGGCGGCGCGGCGTTAGCACAACAGAACTGAAACGACTGCTTCAGCCGCTACAATCTGTAGATAAGCCACACCCGCCACGCGTCCTCTGTGATATCATCGATAACTAGGTACCTAGCTATCAACATCAAGAATTCGGAAGCGAAATTGGTTCATATATTTACAAACCTTATAGAAATTAAAACTCATATAATTGCAGCGCTGAGGTGTTTCTGTACCGTGTATTACACATAGTTACATAATGTACCTACAATAGGTACATAGGTAGGTATCGATTCACAAAACGTCGCCACTCGCCCCCAACCAATAATTTTCTCAAGTGTCACAAGACACCCAGACCAGCAACAATTTATAAATCGTGCGGCGGGACCACCCACCGGGCCAACCGTTTAGTCAAGAACTTGTTTCAATACAAGCAGTATTGTTTCCTTGTTGGAAGTAACTGATCACAGGCTAGAAAATGTTGATCAACATATTTCAGGATAGGATTACAGGACCACTACCATTGTAGAATACTCGCCCCGGCGAAGCGCGCAAACAAGACACGCTCGCGAGCGCTTTCTATTCCAGATGTTGTTGGACATTGTAAGTTGGAAGTAAGGCGCGATGTCGCACTTGTGAAATACCTATTTTAGATTCTTTGTAACAAATCAAACAGTTCATCTGTGTTAGCTTCTTTGAGGCTTCTTGTCCCAAACAGTAGATCGAGACTCAGTCCAAGACAATGCTTATTTGAGGTACCATCAGCTCGCACTAACTTAGACCAACATGACTGCTTCAGAATTCGATAGGGTGACTACAGAAATTGTGAGCTAGGTACATTCGAATTAGGGCATCAGAACCGGTTTCTGAACCGTAAATCCCGGTTCTGAAGGACCCTGTAGAACCGGTTCTGTAAAACGAGAAAACGGTTTTTCGGTTCTTACGGTTCTCTCTTAAAATTTTGAAAATAATATTTTGTCTACAATACTCTTAATGCTAAATATCAAGTTATTATCCTTTATTATTAAGACAGTTATTTGATTGTTATAAATGCAGTTATTTCACTGTTAAACTAATAATAACGTTATATTTTTTGTGAATGATGAAGAAACTAACAAGGCACATTGAAATAAATGCTCCAGGATACAACGAGAAATTAAAATTTTTGTCATACTAAAATAAGTTAAAGAATAGTTAAAAACTATGTCGTAGTTTGAATATAATTCAAAATATATAAAACACACTTTATTGGTATGAGTACCTAACCACTTTTCAATTAGAATTTATGAAAAAACCCGAAAGAACGGAAAGAACCGGGTAACCGGTGCCGTTAAATTTAGAACCGAAAGAACCGGACCCTAAAATAGGACCGGTTCTCGATGCCCTAATTCGAATGTAGGGGAAACGGAGCCATAATTAAAAAAAAAAAACGTTGTCCCACACTAGGATTTTCGTCGTGAGTGCGTTTACAAACATACACATGACACCCAGACCCGAAACAACAATTTGTGGATCACACAAAGTGTTGCCGTGCGGGAATCGAACCCGCGCGGGCGCAGGGCAGCCAGTTGCCCAGCCACCGCGCCAACCGTGCAGTCCTTTTATTATGTGTCTTCCTTTATAATTTATTGATTGTTAATTTATTTTATAAGAGTTATGAATGGTTTTAATTTTTGGCTTTGTAACTTTTTTGTGTATTAGTTTGTAATTTATTTTGAGAAAACAATTTAATTTTAACTATCTCTATGTATGGCAACATTGTCACATCAGGTGGTGTATTTCCTGTAAAGATGTTCCTGTTGTAAGTACATGAATAAATTAAAAAATACATATTTTCGGAAAAAAAACTATGTTTTTATGTTTTATTTTGTGTATGTGGTTTTTTTTAATAATTGATGTTAATGTATTCCATTCGAGTAAGACGTTATATTAAGTGTGGGAGAGCCATGCTTCGGCACGAATGGGTCGGCTCGACCGGAGTGATACCACGGCCTCACAGAAGACCGGCGTGAAACAACCACAGCGTTGTATTTCGCCGTGTGAGTGAGGTTACCGGAGGCCCAATCCTTCCCCGCCCCCAATCCCTCCTCAATCCCTAAATCTCCAAATCCCTAATCCCTAAAAGGTCGGCAACGCACTCGTAACTCCTCCGTTGCGGGTGTCCATGGGCGGCGCTGATTGCTTACCATCAGGTAATCCGTCTGCTCGTTTGCCGAACTATTACATAAAAAAAAAATGTTCAATAAATACTATAATTTTGTATGAAACAATGTCCTGTACTTACGCCTGCCTGTCAAGAGGCATTTCACACCACATCACATCATCAGCCTATAAGTGCCTACTGCTGAGCAAAGGCCTCACACAGAGCAGGTTTGAGCATGCATCACCACGCTTGCTCAAGGCGGATTGGCAATTTCAAACTTTAATTAGAAATTATAAGTCCAGATTTTCTAACGACGTTTTCCTTCACCGTTAAGCTGAGGCATTTACTATAGACGTAATGACGACTGAATGTATATTTCCTGTTAGGAGGTCGCACATTATTTTCACACAAGCAGTCCGCGTCCCAAGCGCTCTCACTACCAATCAGAACTCGCACAACGATGAAGGTTTCGGCGCGACGCTGCCCATGCTGTGCACTCATTCTTGGTTCCTTGTTCATAGGCAGAATTCGATAGGGTTTTTTGTGAGGGAAAAATCATCAAATGACGTCTTGGGCCCCGTCTGTGGTGGTCTATTGGCTCTTTGAGTCGCGCGCGTAACGCTACGCGCCGTACGCTCGGGTAAACCAGTACTTTCTAAGGTAAGCACGTTCAAACAAACATACTCTTCAGCTTTATAATATTAGTATAGATAAGTGTGGGAGAGCCATGTTTCGGCACGAATGGGTCGGCTCGACCGGAGTGATACCACGACCTCACAGAAGACCGGCGTGAAACAACCACAGCTTTGTGTTTCGCCGTGTGAGTGAGATTACCGGAGGCCCAATTCTTCCCTGCCCCCAATCCTTCCTCAATCCATCCCTTATCCCTAAAAATTCGGCAACGCACTCGTAACTTTTCTGTTGTTACTGGTGCCCATGGGCGGCGCTGATTGCTTACCATCAGGTAATCCGCCTGTTCGTTTGCCGACCTATAACATGGAAAAAGTAAATTATGTAAAAATATATAGGTAACTTTATTTATGAGTCTTCTGTAGGCAAAAATATTACAGTGACTATTAAGTTTTTTTAGTAAGGGGAAAATCATCTAATGGTTTCTCTCCCAGGGTTGGGCGGGAGGGAGTGTAACTCTTGCTGACTAAAAACCCCCGTCCTTCTCCTGCTCTAAGTCAAGTTTTTAGTCAGTAAGAGTCTGACAATTTCTCTCATCTTACCCTGTCAAAAAAAACTTGTCGTGGAGGAGTAAAGGGGAGGCCTTTGTACAGCAGTGGTGATGTCATCATCATCAGCCGGAAGACGTCCAGGGATCTAAAAATAGTTGAACAATCGACATTACAATTATCTTTATTTTAATGTCGATTGTCTTGTGTTGTAAAGCAAGCCTACAGACGAATATATAGTATAACAAATAATAAACAGCATGTAGGTAGTGACGGTTGCTAATAACAAGCTTCCACATTACCTATCATTACATGTGCAACGAGCATACATTCAACAAAATTGAAGAAACAAATATTTTATTTAATAAATGCGCCTTAACTAATACCTAATTTAATTTAATTATAACTTCAAATAAATAATTAGTTGTAAGTATTCCTTAGTATTTGTGCCAAAGTATATATTATTTTTAGCATTTCAGATATTTCGAGTGCCTGTGCAAAAAAAACCAATATCCAAGTCCGATGGCAGGTCATTGAAAGACCTGACACTGCGACTGCAAAAAGCATTCCGTCTAATAGTTCGTTGTAGCAAGTGATGCATGTAACATAGGACGCTTTCTAAGATGATTTTGGCTTGTGCTAAGACATATCTTACGCAGTAGTTCAGGACAAGCAATCGAACAATTTGCAATGTGCACTAAGAAACAAACATCGCTCACATTGCGTGTCAATTCTAGCGGTCAGAAATGATATCTGGAACCTGGAATACCTGGAACGATGTTCATAATTAGCCGATATTTGCTTTGCGTTTTGTGATTCAAGTACCGCAAGAATTTTCTTTGAACCGCCTCTATGCGAGACTTGTAAACCTCATGTAGGGGGTTCCAGACCTTCGAATAAGCCAGCATATTTGAGGTGGCTGCGCTCGAAAGCAATAGAGGACTTAGTGGTTTCAGATATCAAAAGTTAGAATAGGTCCTAATGATAAAACCCAAGGCCCTTGAACCTTTATCCACAATAGAATCAATATAAGCATTAAAAATAATAGCACTATCGTGTATGACACCAAGATCTCTGATATTATTCACCATCTCCAATCTGTGCCCATCCAGTGTTTATCCTGTCCCAGTCGAGGATTGTAATCGAGAAATCGATATATGATAACACTTGGACACATTTAAATCTAATTTATTTCTTTTGCAGTATATTACAAATCGATTCTGCGTTCTGACAGTTTGAGTACCCAAATATTTTTTTGATCGGTATTGTTCGTCGGACAACTCAGCAGCACTAGCTATACTGGTTAAAAACTGACACTTGCGTGCCTGTCTTCAGAACGGGTCCACTTAAACTTGTGTGGTTCTTTCCTCAAAAGATCACTACAGAATGAAATTGCACGGTTCTCTCACATTATGTTATTTTTACATTGTCTGGACTTGAAAAGAGACTGACCTCTGTCGTTATGTATGTGTAATCAATCATAAATCAAGCTACGTACTCTGAGTTTGTTTCGGCATTTCTTCTCAAAGTAGTCAAATAAGAAAGTTTTTAACATATAATTTGACGTGTAAAAGTGCCGTTTTATGGCCTAAGAAAAACGGTCTCGAGATCAATCCCTGGGGCGTCCTAACGGAACATACTTTCACCCCGAAGAGTAAACCCGCAAGACCACCACCTGTGTCTGTGTCCGATTATCTATACATACATACATACATATACTACTATATACATATATGACGAAAGCTCAAAAGTTCAAAATGCTCAAAGTGTAGTGTAGTGTAGCTAAATTATAGTGGCACAATGTGTTTGTGTAGTCTCTAGCCAGGGGACGGTAATAAAACGCAGGAACATTACAAAAATATCACTTTATTGCTTAACATAGGAGTAGGAGCACAGCTGTGCGTATCGCTTATTGTCTAGTGGCTGCGAGAGCCGGTACTGGGTATTGTCTAGGACAGTGCGCGGCTCGTACATACTACACGGCTTACACTATTTGGCACCAGCTACCCGGCACTGTGCTCGCTTGTGTACGATAACTCAAATCACAGCAAAATGGTATCACAATATTTGAACTGAAATGACAGGAAAACTTGGAATACAACCGACATATGTATGGAATAGTGTATCTATTCCTGTAAGTGCAGCGGGAGGTGTCGCGCTCGGTGTGCCTCCCGCGCCCACTTACTTAGACTGTTAGCCGTTACTAGGCTTGAGTTGATAGCACCACGTCTCTCGATAACTTCGCTACAAGACAACAAGTTTCTACTCAACATCCTAGAAAACATATCTATAAAATATAGTCTGTTGCACTAGCTACACTTCGGCTAACGTTAACAATACTACCTCCGATACAATAGCTACAGGAATATGTAACAACTAGACACCGCCTCATGCAACGCGCGCGTGGCGCACTACCTAAACTCTTTGAACATCCTCGCTATCCTTACTCTACAAACGTAACATAATAATATATCCTTACGTTACAGTTTCCTACGTAATATGGCAGTCTGTACTCGTTATCAGTATATTACAAAACAATATAGAAACTTATGAGATATAGGCAGACCTTTACAAGTGGAAGGCAAGTCTCGTGACTTTAGTAATAAGAATGGCATCACATGGCTTCGGCGTCGACCGCTCGGATATGTGCTACAGCTCCGTGTGCAGGATGAGCAGCGCCGCGGCGGGCGCCGAGGGCGCGGCCGGCGGGGGCGCGCGGGCCGGGGGCGCGCGGGCCCTCAGCTGCGCCTGCACGGCGTCCCAGGCCGCGTCGCGCGCCACCAGCGCCGCGCGCCCCCGCCTGGCGGCCCCGCGCCCTCTGCGCCGCGGCACGCGGGCGCGCGCCCCTCCCGTCCTCACCTCACCCCGCGCTCTGGAAGCACCCGGAGCGCCTGTTTCTTCCTGAAACATATTTACCTTCCATTTTACTTTTATTTAGGGTACGGATAGCTAACAAACTTTATTGTGACACAGTGTGTAACTAAACTCTTTTGCAAAAAAGGGGCACTTTAGATTTTTTGTCTACTTCAATGAAGAAGAACAAGAAATAGATTTTATTAATTTGGCGATATAAATGCATGTTATTTGTAGCATCCTAGCATGATTCAATTTACTCAATTCGACCCTAGAACATAAATTTCCTTAGGTGGCCGTTTGTTTTGGCAAAAAAGTGTATATCCTACATGTAATTCTCATATGACATTTGGCTTTAATAATATTATTTAAGTTGTTGGACCTGCTAACCAACTCTTACAGAAAGATATGATTTTGAACACTTGCACATTAGTGAGAAAGTTTCTCTCCAATGTGACTGTTTTTTCCTAGTTCCTGTAATACAGTCGGCTCTTTCTAGGTGGATATGGTGGCTCCCCAGACCGGTATGCAATAGGACAGAATTGACTGATTTAAAGCAAAATAAGCCATTTGTAAAATTCCTCAGATTTCATCCATCCATCCATCTTAAGAAACCATATCAATGTATGTGTAATCAATCATAAATCAAGCTACGTGGCCTATCTGATAGAACGTCAATATGTTTGTCAATATATGTATACTGCCGGATATCCTACCACTCGCACCTTGGATGCAACACAGTTAGGGGCAGCCAAACAAATATGGGCCTTGAGAGGATAACTAATTGGCACATAAACCGTTTATTGACGTTAAACGCGAGTACACTGTTGTTTAGCCAGTATATAACCAAAAGACAGTGCAAGCACTGCAGTATGAAAACAGCCGCCCCGGTTATCCCCAGACACTTACAATAATGTATGACTTGCATAAGGTACAACACTGCAATGTTCCAGGGGAAGTCTAAACAAGTCGTTAATGTAAATAAGGCCTAAAGAGGGACTGGTAACGACTTTTGCCATCAATCGAAACGAACGAAGTGGGCCTTCTTCAGAATTACAATCGCTTGGCAGGTTCAAGCGAATGTTATCTGGGGGAGCACTGTCAAATCTTGGGAGTGCTTAACCGCAATAGTATTCTAGAGTAGAGTATAGTAAGAAGTGCGACTTCGGAGTTGGAAAAGCATAAAGTGTGTGTATAGGGAGTACGGTCCCGGCCACACTGACCTGCTAGAAAATTTTGTCGAGTATGGTGTACATGCGCAGGTTGGCCTTCTTGCGCCAGCCGGGCGGCGGCCGCTCCGCGTCGTTGCAGTCGCTGTCCTCGTCGGCGGCGGCCACGGCGCACACCCCGCCCTCCTTCTCGGAGGGCTCGCACTCCGGCGGGCGCCGCGCGCGCGCCGCCAGCCGCCGCGCCATCACGAACGCGGCCACCTGCAGCACCACGCCCAGCACTCCGAACACGATAATCACGAAGGCGTTATTGGGCGCCTCGCGCTCCACTTCCTGTAACACGAGAGACCTCCGTCAGTCGGGGCCCTGCCTGAGCAGTGGTGTGTCTCTGGGCGCCAGCCAGTCGGAGCAGTACCTCGATCATGTCGTAGAGCGGGCGCGCCACGTCGCGGTAGCGCTCCACTGCCAGCAGCGCGGGCTTGAGGTCGTGCAGCAGGTCCATGCCGCGGCGCGCCAGCTCGGCCTGCGGGGCGGAGCGCCACCAGGCCGCCAGAGAGGCCCCCATCCACGCGCCGTAGCCCACCTCGCTCAGCGCGAGGCACACCACGCCGGCCGCGTACTGCAACACCAACGTTCTTACATAGCGCTAGCGTCTGCAATCTGGTGCACACCAGACTACCAGTGTGCTACTGTTTGAGAGCTGATTCTAGATCTTTCCGTGAGGTGTATAGTGCAAGCATCGGTATACGTACGACGTGCAGGCAGTGGGTGGCGCTGCGCTGCGCGGCGGCGGCGGCGAGGTAGACGAGCGCGGCCAGCCACACGCCGGCCGCGAACACGTAGGCCGCCGACACGCGGTACTGCGCCGCGCACAGGAACCGGAACCACGTGTACGTGCTGGGGTCCCACGCCAGCCGCGCCGCCGTCGCCAGCAGCGCGCCGCTGTACATCTGCAACACGACATCTCACTTATAATTTATTTTTCACCTTGTCAAACCTAACTCTTAATCTCGTATGAAGAATGTTTTGTATATATAAGAATTATATCAAATCAAATCATTTATTCCAACTAAACCATAAATAGGTACTTTTGAAACGTCAAAATAGAATAGTAGTCTGTCAGTCTGTTCGTCAGTGAAGCAACAATTTGTAATTTCGAATGGAGAAGTAAGAGCAAGAAACTCCATCGTTACTCTTTTAAACAAAATATTTGTTTTACAATACACCAATAATACATTTTTTATACATTACTGTACCCTATGTGAGAACAATGCAGAGACAAGTTGTTAATAAATAAAAAGGAACAAATGATGGTATCTACCATTAAAATTTTAATCTCTTGTCGTCTCGAACATGGCCCTCACACATGCGCACTCACAATCCAAAAGAATGCTTCTATATAAACTCATTCAAGGTTTCATTAATTTTGAGGATTATTAACTACTGACTACGTATTTGAGTATTGTCCAGTGGGGCCGAACCAACATGCTGCCAGGCATTCTTATCCTCAATATAATGTGAAAATCTAATATTCCTTTAAAAAGGAATAATTAAAAGAAAACTTACGAAAAAAAAATCAACTATATATTTCTATTTTGCCGGGGGTCTAATTTATTTTTTTATTTTATATTTTTTATAGGTGTTTTATATAATTTTCTCTCGATTAAGTCATCAACATTCCCTTTCAGTGCGCTTTCATTTGAGACCCCACTCGAGTATATTTCCAGACCTTCGGTTACCCTTCCCCACTTACCCCCCTATAACTACTAAACGGCTCAACCGATTTTCTTCAAACATATCTAAGAACACTCGCACGTAAGTCACCTTTAATACAAAAAAAACTAAATTGAAATCGCTTCATCCGTTCAGGCTCCAGGATGCCACAGACAGACAGACAGACACGGCGGGGGTTAAAAATGAGACCAGACCCATATAGTAGGCGAATAGAAATAACTGACTGTTCTCATGTCATTTTGTAAGTCGTAATAAATGAACTTATTTAGTTGGCTGTCGTTTATTTATTTCGTATTAATTGAAAGACGTGACGCACATTGTGCCAATATTTATTTAAATTGTTAGCTTTATTGCCTCTGATACAGTAGGTGTTATTAATACAACAGTGATCCGGTATTGTGTGCCCAAGCAGCAACAGGTTAGTTCGAATTACAAGTTTATGTTAAGTAACCCGTGACCCACATACAGATAACGATGCGGTCGAGGACTTTGGCTCCTGATTCCAACGAGATAACAGTGGCCAGGCTCTGTTCTCCGCCAGGAGGAGGTCCACAAGGAGGTCGTGTCACAACGACTGTCTCTGTGTTCGCCTGCATTCTGTCGCATTATCGCATATCTCACTATCTCAGCTATTCGCCTGATTTACTACAAAGTGCTCATTCAGTAGCAAATCGCATATTATGTCGATAAGAGTGGTTGCGTTGTGAGCATCTTTCCGACCGATACTGACATACTGGTGTAAGGTCAGGCGGGTTATCTCGGGTCAATCAAACACATTTTTAATTTAGTCAAGAAAGATAAATGGTTGACTTAAGTGATCAATAAAGCCCCCAACATTGCACGGCTGTTGCTGTAGGGTACCGCGAGCTGAAGAAAAATGGAATGGGTTTTAATGAGTACGAGTCTGACACTCCCTCTCGGGAGAGGGACACACGGGCGGCGAGAGAAGTTATTTGATGATTGTCCACGGACAAAAAGTTCAATAAAGACTAACAACTTACTTAGCTCTTTTGTGCATAAAATGAGTCCTTACCTATTACCTATATGTCATGAATGAATAAACTTAAGGAAGTTGAGTACAAGCTATTATTAAAAAAATGTGTTCCGCTTTCCGATAGATACCTGTAGCATCGGGCTTTCTAATGGATTTACGATTGTGTTCGTTTTTCAAATCGTCTCTGCTGGTCGCGCCGGTATCGGAGCACAGTGCTGCCGCGCCATGACGTCACCTGCTCGACAATTTCCAAGTACGCTTGGTCACGCTACTAGTTTGCTTACTCTGCGAAATGTTAACAATAACGCTCTCGGGTCGCGTTTCCTCGAATGTTTCGCTTATGTATGGAATATGTATTTGCATGGCATGGGTTGATGGAGTATAATGTACGTTGTACTTGGTATTATAGGTAACGAGACGATGTTGTTCGAGGTAAATATAGAGCAGGTTCACGCTGACCGTCTACTACACACGTTATTGGCAAATATTGTACCTAATAACATAATAAAAAACAGGAAGTCTGAATGATACGATGTAAGTAATTTGTAAGGTTTGGGAGCTCGGGGTCGACGACCGCGGCGCAATGTGTCACTTCATCAGTACTGTAAGAGCGAGCAGCGAGCGGTGCAGCGAGCAAGACGTGACCACAGCAGCCGCGACCCACAGAGGGCCCACTCCACACTACTGCGAAATCAATTGAACTTAAGAAATTATGCAGCGCCAGTGCCCTTCATTCATCATCAAATGGGTTCTCCCGTGTGTGTGTGTGTGTGGTCTCTGTTTGGGGCGAGCGGGAATTTCAAATTTATATTCCTACATACTAAAAACACGCCGTTCCTTCTCCAAATCATCAGTCGGGGGCCCGGCATATTATTACGCTTGCACCCGCCACCCCGGCTGAATATCGGCTCCGTTGAGCCTCATTTGAGGTTGTAAGAGCGCGCGGAACGTGACGCCAATATCCTTGAATAATGCAAAACCTATTTGTGAAAACTTGTAAATGGCCTTCAAGTGTCAGATTATTTCTCTCGTGTTGTTTATTGTAGCTGAAAGTTTTCCGAAAATATTAAAAATAAAATAATAATATTCTTGAATTGAAAAGGCCCTCCAACTCTCCCATTCTCTCCGTGACCGGTAGGTACTTAAGTATGCAGCGTACATGTGAAGCTTCTGCGACGTGTGTTTATGTATCGTAAGCCGCAACGAGTAATGGCAGCGGAGGAGCAAGGAGCGGCGAGCGCGCGGCCATTAACCGCGCGGCTGACCCTGACCCAGTGCGCCACGTGCGCCCGCCGCCCGCTGCCACGCCAACCTCCTCGTCTTCCTCTACAAGCCCCACACCATCACCACTACCGGCTGCAGTCTTGAGGCGTCTCGGCATCCACTGAATGATACAATGGGAGTAATGCCATAGAACTGTTGGAGCGAAATATCGCCCAAGTTTTCTTTCTTTATTTAACAATATTTTCAAACAATAAAGACAACGCCAAGGAACAACTGCTGAATTACTCATTATTATATAATTTTGATTTCAACAGGAATTACAAACTCACCCCAAATAAATGTCGATGTGAACTTTAAAAAAATAAAAAACAAATACATACATATATACATATTTTATCTTGTTTGTCTATGAATGAATTTCCTTCCTTTGCCGAGATATCTAATTACTCCGTAATTATATTTAATTAAAAATGTTGAAACTCAAGTCAAGGCCCAAGGCTCAAGTTATGTAGACATTGAATGCCGAATGTCGCGCGAGAGGTCGCCCAGTACTGCCCAGTAGTGTACACTCGCGCGCATTTTTCTATCATTTATGTAGGTACTTAGAAACCTATAAACTTCTATTCGATATTATTTTTTATTTCTTACAAATACTCGAGGTAAAATATCGCTATAATATAATCAGTGACGTCCAAGTATTCCAACTAATGTGAAGTAGACTTCATCAAAATTGAAAAAAGAATTGGCGTGTATGTCCTGGACTCAGTGTAAATAGCTGTGAATTTGTTTTTGTTTGGTAACTTAATGATTTTGCATGAGTGATGCGCCGGCGCAGTCACCGAGCGTGTGCGACGGAGGGCGGAGGCGGAGGTGACACTATGCATCGCTTGGTGCACTCGTGCACTGTTACATTACCTACTTGGTACACATTGTCCTCTCAAAGAAGCTCCGAGCTTACAAGAAGGTTCAACTGTGAATGTTTTTGTTTGATACTTTGAAACTTTAACACTATTTGTAGTGTGATTACTGGTCATATCTATGTGCATTTACTACAACTATGTAGTATGCAAGTCATGACCGTCGGCCAGGCCACATCGTGATGCGCTGTATGTGTGTATCGCTATTTGGTCGCGTGTCATTTCCAGCACAGGCTTAATTTTTTATCGATGGATGGTAAATCGTCACGTGTTATGCATTGAAACAACATGTGTATCAGAACTCAATACGGCTTGCGTGTCTGGCCAATAACTATATAGGTTCAGCACTCATTCTGAAGCCGCTGGCAGTGACAACGCATACCCGCAATATCTGATAACTTAAACTAGATAAAAGGCCTTTGTGCCAAGCTGTCGACGGCTAGAAAGAACAGGCGGGTAAAGAGATGTGCACCGTGCCACGGCCACCTAAGTACTAGAATCGTGACTGAAGTAGTCGGTAGTCTTTTTATGTGATAGGACGGCAAATTAGGCTAGCAGACGACAGACACCTACTAGACTAGCCCATAGACACCCGCAACAAGGGATTGGGGGCGGGAAAGGATTGGGCCTCCGCTAACCTATCACACACTGCGAAACACAACGCTGTGGCTGTTTCACGCCGGTTTTCTTGAGGCCTTGGTATCACCCCGGTCGAGCCGAGTCATTCGCGCCAAAGCATGGCTCTGCTACACTTAAATCATTAGAGTTGATTCCTTTTCGTTAATTAACGACTCCCTCAGCATCAGCTGCGTATCTCAGCACGCCCTCCTTGCACTCTGTGATTACTGTCATTGCGTATTCACTTAGCATACACTGTTAGACCTTCCTTCCAAGACTTAAATCCTTTAGCTTGGCTCGTAGGAGGTGGAGGATGTAGACGAGCCGAGCACTCGGGGAGGGCGAGCAGTGCGCCGGCCGCCGCCTTCATTTGCACACAATTGTGAAAAACCTTGGCTGGGATGTGTGAAGTAGGTCAAGTTTTCGTTTTGAAATATTTGTCATAAAAAACTAATTGCATTGG